GCTGGCGCACAGCTGGCCACGGGGCCCACGCAAGTGTGCGTTCCCCCAGTGAGCCTCCTTGCACGGGTGTTGTGCAAGATCAAGGAGGACGAGGAGCAGGTCTTGCTGGTAGCCCCCTACTGGCCCACCAAGACGTGGTTCTCCGAACTCATGCTCCTCGCGACAGCACCTCCTTGGCCTATTCCTCTGAGACCGGACCTACTCTCTCAGAGACGGGCACTCTGTGGCACCCTCGTCCCGATCTTGGAGGCTGCACGTGTGGCTCCAGGACGGGACGAGGCAGGTTTGAGTTCGCTGCCACCTACGGTGGCGGCAACCATCACTTCCGCAAGAGCGTCGTCCACGAGACACCTTTATGCGTTGAAGTGGAACCTCTTCGTCAATTGGTGTTCTTCTCGCTGAGAAGACCCCCGGAGATGTTCGATCGGAGTCGTGCTTCCTTCCTGCAAGAGGGGTTGGAGCGTAGGCTGTCGCCCTCCACCCTTTGGATTTATGTCGCGGCCATTGCCGCGTCTCATGATGCAGTGAAAGGTAAGTCTACGGGAAGCATTACCTGGTCATCAGGTTCCTGAGGGGAGCGAGGGGGCTAAATCCGCCTCCCTCCCCTCCTGCCCTCTGGGGACCTCTCAGTAGACCTGGGTGCTCTGCAGAGGCCTCCCCTGGAGCCTTTGCAGTCGGTAGAGTTTTTGCCCTGTCCTATGTGACAGCACTCCTGATTGCATTGGTCTCCATCAGGAGAGTAAGGGACCTGCACGCACTCTCTGTTGACGAAGTGTGCCTGGAGTTCGGGCCGGCTTACTCTCACGTATTCCTGAGACCCCGGCCTGGATATATGCCCAAGGTTCCTACCACTCCCCTCCGGGACCTGGTGGTGAACCTGTAAGCGCTGCCCCTGGAGGAGGCAGACCCAGCCTTGGCACTGCTCTGTCCGGTACGTGCTCTCCGCACCTATGTCGACAGAACGCAGTGTTTCAGGACCTCAGACCAGCTCTTTGTCTGTCATGGGGGGAGCCAGAAGGGAAGGGCTCTCTCAAAGCAACGGCTGTCCCACTGGATAGTGGATGCCATTGCTTTGTCTTACCAGCAGCAAGGCCTTCCGTGCCCCCTTGGTGTGACGGCCCATTCCACTCGGAGTGTAGCCTCCTCTTGGGCTTTAGCGCACGGCGCCTCGCTAACAGACATCTGCAGAGCTGCAGGCTGGGCGACACCCAACACCTTCGCCAGATTCTATAATCTGCGAATTGAGCCGGTATCCTCTCACGTACTCGTTTCGGCCAGTTCCGGATCCGCTCAGGTGTCTTCGCTTGCTCGCCACTCCACTCCACCGGACTGGATAAGTGTGATATTTCCTCAGTTCTTCCATTGAAATCTTGAGTCCTCCAGCACCGACGATGCGGGCACCACTGCTGTTGCTCTGGATGCTGGCTAGGTGCCTCCATGCGCACGGTTCCCCATGGTAACCGTCTCATGTGTATTATCCACTGTAAGCCTCTCTGAGCATGTGTCTTCCCTTGGCAAGCCATCTGCCACCCCTGGAGTTGAAATTAGTAGCCACCTGCGGTTGGTACTCCAGTGTTCCATATGTGTTCCTATGTGGCCATATGTGTATTCGTAAGTCCTCCCTTCGGTAGGCAGCTGGTAGCATGTCCCTTCCGGGATATGTTTCCCAGTGTACCTTGGTAATCCTGTGTCAAAGTCGGATCCCCAAAAAAAAAAAAAAAAAAAGAGGTAAGGCTCGGGGGTCCAGACTTTCGCAGGGCACTGGAAGACAGCTTGAAGATGGCGTGATGGCACAGACCCCCAATCTCCGTCACTTCTGACGTAACTCGAAGTGACTACGAAAGGGAACGTCTCGGTTACGTATGTAACCTTCGTTCCCTGAGTAGGGAACGGAGACGTTACGTTTCCCTGCCACTTCTGCTGTATCGCTGGGTAGACGCCGAGTTCGTCTTGGCTCCTCAGCGAAGACATACTGCGGTTGCGTTCACTTCCTCCTTTTATACTCACGGAGTAGGGCGGAGTACGCTATGCAAATTTCCGCAGCCCCAAGGCATTGCATGCCATTGGCTCGTGTTTAAATACTCGAAGAGGATTGGCTTTCTATGCGAAACCCCCAATCTCCGTCACTTCCAATCTCCGTCACTTCTGACGTAACGTCTCCGTTCCCTACTCAGGGAACGAGGGTTACATACGTAACCGAGACGTTTTCTTAATGACAAGACTTTGTGTCTGATTTAACATAAAGTGATTTTAGTATGCATTATATTCAGCCCATTCTCACCCCCAAGGCGTCAGTTAAGTGACGCCTTGGGAAGCATTTGGACATGCTTCAATATCTGACGCTTTAGGCGCCCTTTAGCGTCAGTTAGATGACGCCCTAGGATCGCGTGTACCCTACCCCCACCCCACACCTAAACCTAACCGCGTCCTCTAACTGACGCTTTCCTTTAGCGTCAGTTAGATGACGCCGTAGGATCGCGTCATGTAAGTGACGCTAAAGGGCGCCTAAAACGTCAAATATTGAAGCATGGTCAAAGGTGACGCCTTGGGGTGAGAATGCGTTGTTATATTTTAACAGAATACTTCAGGTGTCAGTTTCAGTCAGTGTCATCATGAGCGATTATAAACCAAACACAAATTCAATAAAAGTAAACTAATAATTAGCAATATAACCCAAGTGGAGCATGTATGAATCAAATTAAATACATTTAATGAGCGTCCACAAAATGGCAGATGATCCAAACTCAATATCTTCACAAACCAGGGCCCTGTTCCTTAGGAAGCTTCTTAACATGCTGCCTCTTACGTTCAACGTTACAAAGGCACTGTTCCAAGTGAAGGAGCTGAATTAGTTGCTCAAAAATCGATTTTCCACTTCACGCGAAGGTGCATTACAGAGTTAAGAAAGACAACACGTTCTATGCAAATGAAACATTCCTCAAATTATTCTAGTAACATTTATTTTAAAATAGTTTAAGTTATCAGTAAAATATAGACTATTAATTAAATTATAGGTAGACGAACCGGGTATCCCTCGCTAATCAACCCGGTCTCATCCCAAGACGTCATATAACTGACGTTTTGGGACGTCTTTCGACCATACGTCAAGCCGTTTTAGGGCCCCCTTAAACGTCGGTAGATGAGGTTATGGGATCCTAACTCTACCCCATACCTAAACCTAACCCGTCACCTAACTGACGTTAAAGGTAAAGAGTCAGTTGTATGACGGCCCGGGATCGCCAGCTACCGACGTTTAAGGGGGCCCTAAAAAGGCGGATATTGACGTATGGTCAAAAGACGTCCCAAAACGTCAGTTATATGACTTTTTGGGATGAGACTGTGTTACGCTAATCAGCCACCCTCCTTATCCCGTTGTGCCTCTTCTTGACATGGGTTTAACGACTTCTAAAAATCATGTAATACAATTTTATATTAATGGTAAGGTACTTTACAATCAGAATTGATTGGAAAGCAGCTGCAGTTACATCTGGTTAATGTGGTATTGATTAACTTAATAGCTCCATTGATTATCAGTTGTCTTCGATGCAAATTTTTTAAATATAGCATTTTTTGAAATATACAAAAAATGTATATCATGAACATACACATAGAAATCACATGACTTGTGTGTATATTGTTTAGTTGTTGTGCCAATCATACTGTAAAAACAGGAAACATTGAGGAGACAGCTTGTACATGTCTCAGCGTTGTACACAAACCCCAGTAACTGTGAGGGTGCTGGTGTGGTGAAGCAATGCGATTTTACAGGCACATTTTATGGAGAATTGCTTTAGTGCCTGGTTACAAATCAGACAAAATCACTTTCTTATTTAGTATGTATACAGACGTTTGAACTAACTTATAATGACCTGTTGTGGAAATGATTCTCTGTTATTCGAAAAGATAGGAGGAAGAAGACAAGTGGAAACCTTTTCAAAAGTCAAAGTATCAAAAGTTTATTTTCTTGCAAGAAAACAAATCCAATCTTTTGGCATTCAACATACATAACAGTGTCTACATGTGAAGGCGAAGGCTAGTCCTTCTCATCATCCTTATATACCTGAAAACCCAGGAAATGCAGGCTATGTCTGGTTTTGCTACCGATTGTCTCCTACACCATCTAGCAAGGAAACATGTTTGCGCTGCTCTTGACTATTCTTGTAGACCGTATAATTTGGACAGCACAATGACGTTTGTGTTAAGTTTCCTATGTCCAAGTACAGCTTGACTTCACACCTCAATTTATCTCTTGGTTGCAAGTTCTGTTCGACCTCACACCTTTCTGCTCAATTTATCTCTTGGTTGCAAATTCTGTTCGACCTCACACCTTTCTGCTCAATTTATCTCTTGGTTGCAAGTTCTGTTCGACCTCACACCTTTCTGCTCAATTTATCTCTTGGGTGCAAGTTCTGTTCGACCTCAAACCTTTCTGCTTTATCTTTTGTTTGATCAAAACCCTGCACAAATATAACTCACACTTGAGATACAATGAGCTATTAAAATGTTTCCATGCTGCTTGCTTCTTTTAAACACAGAACAATATGTCCTCACACTAAGCTTACATTACTTATGCATTTCTAACAGTTTAGTTATACCTTAAGCTTACTCTAACTTATGCATTTCTAACAGCTTGTTATATCTTTAACAATGTCCTTTGGATTACATGAACATCTTCCTTTAAATGCTTATGAGTATATGTTAGATGATATGAATATTTCCCTTTAAATGCTCATGAATACATCTTCTCCAACGTTAGTAAAAGTTACACACACATCTATCACATCTTAATGAAATAAAAGAAAACATATAAAAGAAAATAAAGATCATATATGAAAGAAAAGAAACTTGTATAAATGTAAATGCAAAATTAGCCATTACACCATTCATGTCTTTTAACTTGTATGCTTCATATATTAGTAACCAAAGCTATAGAGTGTGAAATAAAACTTCTTATTTTTAGTTTGCTAACAAATACAAAAAAAAAAAAAAAAAAAAAAAGCTGTGTTAAACCTGTATAATTTTGTGAAATACAGTGATCTAATTTTTGGGTCACTGCCCAGCACTAGTTACTGGTATGATCTGTCATCTTAGTTCAGCTGTATCTCCTTATTAACTTTATTTGTACCACTACTTAAGTTTCTTTGGAACTTATCCAATCTCACAGCAACAGTCAATAATCTACAGTCAGACATGTTTTCAGCATGACTTATACCAAAGTATCACATCACTTCTCTACTTAAATTAACATATAATGAAAATAAACTTTTTCACTCAGAATCACAACTTAACCCAAAATGTATCCACAGCAACTGTTTTTGATTCTACCTAAAGGCAAACCCCGGACCATGATGAAACCTCTGCTTGTTCCTTTGCTTTTACAAGGTATAGCATTTATTGTTTTGTTTCTCTCCTTCATAAAGTAGGTGCAACTGATATACATCATGAAAATCTGTCACTGTGTCTTCACTTCTGAAGATTTCTGTTGCCTTTTCTAATGCTGCTTCTTGGTAATTTCACTAGATCTGATGGTTGCACAGAAAAAGTATAGTAGAGCTTTAGTATTTACATGAAATCAGAAATGGAATCCTTAACCATTCATAATTTAAATTAAATTTAGATTGATTATAAGACTACAATTACTTTTTGACATTCAATATATATTTTCCATTACTTATGTGATTGAAAGCCCTAAATACTTAAAGCAGCAGTCCATAGCTCTTTTGGGGTTAAAAATGATCCAAAATACTTATTTGAGAAAATACATAACCAGCCAGTGTTCAAAACTATCTGCTTGCCGTAGCTCGATTCAAAGAGGTAAGCTTGTAATACTGTTATTAATTACAGTAGTACTGGTGGATTTCCACGGGAGGTTCGAGCATGTCTTTGCGTCATTACGTCACATCTGTACACATAAAGACGAGTCTCGGCTTGTAGGCTATATTGAATCATTACGCCACATCTGTACACTTAAAAAAGAGTCTCGGCTAGACTATATTGAGTCATTACGTCACATCTGTACACATAAAGAAGAGTCTCGGCTAGTAGACTATATTGAGTCATTACGTCACATCTGTACACATAAAGAAGAGTCTCAGCTAGTAGACTATATTGAGTCATTACGTCACATCTGTACACATAAAGAAGAGTCTCAGCTAGTAGACTATATTGAATCATTACGCCACATCTGTACACATAAAGAAGAGTCTCGGCTAGTAGACTATATTGAGTCATTACGTCACATCTGTACACATAAAGAAGAGTCTCAGCTAGTAGACTATATTGAGTCATTACGCCACATCTGTACACTTAAAAAAGAGTCTCAGCTAGTAGACTATATTGAGTCATTACGCATGAGTCATTAGGCTGCAACTGACCTATGCGAAAACAAGGATACATATCGGAAGGACATGATGTAGTCACGCAATGCGGATGTTATTAACATTAACAATTTGAGAACAAAGTATAATTTGCACAGTTTTGTGTGATATGATAAGCGATTGTTAGATTTAATCATCGTGATTTACTCCAATGTCAGAACCAGAAGTGGATGTAACTTACTTGTTCAGATGACATTTTCATTTGCTTCTTATCTTGAGTAAAGTTGATAATTCCTCGAATAAATGCAATTATAGATTTCGAACAGAGATAGCGACAAAGAGGAAGAATGGCGGACTGCAGCTTTAATGTTTTTGAAAACATATATATATATATATATATATATATATATATATATATATATGTATGTTACATTTCAGCCATTAATTTTCTCCAAAATTCACATGTTGTCCCACAGGTGTCCTGCTATATTATACTTTAGCATGGCAAGTGAAAATGCCAAAAGAAATCCGTGGCCTCCAAGGTTCCTGTCTGGTTATACCATGTCATTTCTCTTACACATGGTATCCACCCACAGACCCACATAGAATTGTGTGGTATCAGTGGGTCTCTAAAGGTTATCCTTTAGTTTATGATCCACGGTATCCATATGATGTCATTGAAAAATTTAGAGGAAAAACTGATTTATATGGAACAAGGGATTGGGATTGCAGTCTGCTGATCAAAAACCTGAAACATTCCCACCATGGAGAAAAAATATATGCATGGATTGACCCTGAAAATGTTGGATGGCGCACCTACCCATTTTATGATGTCACTTCTACAATTCTTGTTGAGGGTATGTAAATATTCTTGGAATAATATACTTTCACTGTATTCTGTTCTAATCAATTGCATAGCTTGAACTAAGGCTTAACAGATAGCACACAATTTCAGAAAAGAACTCCAGAAAGCAGTCTTCATAACTTTAGTGACTTTACTGCTCATTGTTCTTCTCAATTCTTTTTTGTAAATCTACAAATAATAAGAAAAAAAATATGTATGAATGTTATGTTCACAATAGGGCAGGGATAATCAACTCTTTTTTTAAACGATTAATCTAGCGATTATTTTTTCGATTATTTTTATTTTTGGGGGGAATTTTGGGGGATTTTTATTTTTTGGGGACTTGTTACCACTATCGCATCTAGTGTGGTTATAACAAGAATAGCAATAATATCGATCTAATAATTCTTAAACAGAGGGATTTCCAGGGCCAACAAAATATTCTGTTCTCATGACCAATTGCGTAGCTTGAGCAAAGGCTTAACAGAAAGTGTATACTTTCAGAAAATAACTCAAGAGTGCAGTCTTCGTAACTTCAGTGACTTTACTTGTGATTGTTATTTTCAATTATTTTTTTTTATTTTTGTAAAACTACAAACATGAAGAAAAATTATGAACATTGTTCACATTTACATTTAAAAGTAATATACATATCGAGAAAATTATATTCACTAGAGAGGTATGGTACCTGACTTCGTCATACTCTTATTCTTGTCGGAATATGAGTCTGAAACTGCTCCGTAGGGTTTTGATTATGAGGCGTGTCTTTATCAAACCAGGGGGAAAAAAACAATGCACTCAATTGGGTAGTCGGTAAACCTACAACATCAGAGCAACGGAGTAAGTCAAATACTTTGCATATAGAATTACTTATTTTAGAAGTAAAATAACGAGTGTTGCTTCTTTTACTTACTTCTCCATGAGTGCCACCAAAGGAGAAACCACAACGACCACAGGCTTTCTATACGTCCCATCTTCTTAGCGACCGTCAGAGCCAGCTGATAAGTTACACTTTTGCCGAATCATGTAGGAAGGACGGCAAAAATATCTTTCCGATCGACAAATGCCTTGATTGCAGTTCTCTGTTTGTCTATTAAAATTAATGCGCTGTCGATTTATTTCACATCAGACGCGACAGCGGAATCTATACATCTCAATTCTTCAGCTGCAGTCATCTTTGAGGGAAACCAGTTAAGCGCTCTTTGATAACGTGATGATTACGTCCTTGCAGATCACCTGTCCATCATCGTATAAAGCCCGCCCTGCCATTTTGATTGGCCCAAATGTTTCTTGCCAGATCATAATTACTCCTCAGTGGATCGAGTCCAGACCGAACTTCCCGACCAAAAAATGTTGTTGGCGGAGTTCGGGCTGGCATCCAGGCTAATATGGCACGTTACCAATAACGCGAATCGAGTGTGTTCACTACAAAATAATAATAGTACATACTGTACAATAAAGTTGATCTAATAATTCTTAAACACTTTAAATCACTGTTTAGTTTAAAATATAGCACATACATATATTTATAAGGTTTAAACAGTGTAATCAATAGTCGATAGGAACTGCATGCATGTTCTTCTTGACTGCGTTCACTGAGACAGATTGTAAACTGCATAAACATAGTGTCCAATGGGAGGTGAAAAAGAAACACATCTAGAAATAAGCAATAGCACACATCGTAATATTTGTGATTGTCCAACTCAAATACAGTGTGGTCAATAACAATAGACACAATAAACTGCTTCGAATTGACTTTCTACTTATTAGTTTCCCAGATAGCAAACTGACATTGAATCAACGTGGAAATATGACATCGAAACAACGTTGATCTGACATTGTTTTGCTCATCGAATTAACGTTGAACCAACGTCAGACGCGTCATTCTTTCAAAACTAACGGAAAATCAACTTGAAATCAACGCGTTGTTTCAACGTTATGAAAGCAAACCAATTTTCGATTTCATTTAGCTTTGAAGAATGCCGCGTCTGACGTTGGTTCAACGTTAATTCGATGAGCAAATCAACGTTGTTTCAATGTCATGAGAGACGTCGTTTCCACGTTGATTCAATGTCAGTTTGCTGTCTGGGTTATTTGTTGAAGTGACATTTCAAAAATATTGTCAAACATAGTCAAGCATTGTGAAACATGTTCATATGCTGATATGATGAACCGCGATCTTTATTTTGCTGATACGACCAGAGAAGAACTGACTTGAGATGGGTTCGTTAAAAATAATTTAAAGAGTGAAAGGTGAAGGTAGTTCACTAAGTCCTAGAACAATTCATTTACAGGTTGCAGATTTAATGAAATTCAGACATCTGTAAGTGTCAAAATACCATGCAGCCACAGCCACTGTCTGGTTAACAAAGTTATTTGATTTACTTGTTCTGCTGATTTGTCCTAACTTGTCAGATTTTGCATTAAAACAATAGGTGGCACAATTTGACAGCGAACAATGCTACCCATCTGATTGTGTTATCTACCCCCCTCCCTAAACCTACCCTTAAACATTGCAGATATTTTTAAAATAAATATGAAATATTGATGTGCTTATGTGCAGTAAGCCCTGAACAATCTGACGGGTAGGATTAAATGTCAGGACAGTAATAATCCTAATGTTCCTGTGAATTATAGCAAGTCCACAGCCGCCGAGCATCAGTATTTATGGAGGTGAAAGGATGGGTGACGCCATCACAGTAGCATGTTCAACTTTCCACACGTGTCCATACAGCAAACCAGACATCATTCTGATTGCTATAGAAGGAACTGCAACAATAAACCTTGCCTTGCCAAAAATAAACGACGAGTATATTGAAGACGGCCTGTGGAAAATCACTCTGACCCGCGAAGGCATCATAAAAGCAGAAGGCTTGACTATCGGGTGTTCTGTAAGGTATTATGGTGGCAAAACAGTGACTGCTTCAAGAAACAAAAGTGCCAAATGTGAGTAAACCCAAATATGAACTGTGTATTTAAAATGCCACAGTTGGAGCTATTACAAGATTTTACTTCAATTTTAGGTGTTGCTGATAAAATAACGATTGAGCCTGGACTGGCTGATGTTACAGAGGGCGTCGCAAAAAACTTCATTTGTTCGGTCTATCACTCCTGCAAGAGAGAGACTACAACCATCACATGGAACTATAAAAACATGCAGATCTCAACGCAGAGCAAAACACTCTCTGGTTCAAATCGGGTCACCTATTCCAACATAACCTTTCTGGGTTCAAAAGATGAACATGGGAAGAAACTGACATGCACTGCCAAATTTTCTGGAGGAGTCACTGCAGAAACCTCTGTTGTTTTACGTGTACAGCGTAAGTAATTTGTTAGCATAATGTATGACTTGAATAGAATATTTATCATTCAAAATTTGCCTTGTTATAATGTGTACATTCTAAATTGTGGTTAATTAGAACACATTATTTTTTATTTATTTATTTTTTGTTAACTTAAACGTCGGTAGATGGCGATCCCGGGCCGTCATACAACTGATGCTTTACCTTTAACGTCAGTTAGGTGACGGGTTAGGTTTAGGGTTAAGTTTAGGTCTGGGGTAGAGTTAGGATCCCATAACCTCATCTACCGACGTTTAAGGGGGCCCTAAAAAGGCGAATATTGACGTATGGTCAAAAGACGTCCCAAAACGTCAGTTATATGACGTCTTGGGATGAGACCGGGTTGTAAGGACACTCGGTGTCCAGGACCGCGATTGTTATTTTCAAAAGTTATTTTTAACGGACGGAACCAGATTGGCCGACCTATAGCCGCCTACAAGCTCACTCAATGCATGGATGATCTGACAGGATTAACGTACGTTACCTCGATTGAGTGGCCTGACTTCTACATCTACCTTATAGAGAAACCGATCGTAAAGAGAAACCGAGGGCATATAAATCTTTAGATGCCTATATGGTCCTGTACAAGACTTGTGTGTACGATCCGCAGTTCTGCCGAGCCAGCGCCGAGACCACGACAATGTAAAAAGTGACATTACAGTGCGATTTTAATCATGTGAATATTTTCTAGAAATAAAAGTTCCAGATACAGCATATTCATTTTTCATCAATTCTTGCACCAAACAACACAACAAGATGACATTTAATAATAGTAACAATTATCAAAGCTCCTTATTATGTAGCCGAATCTGTGCTGTTTTGCATTGGCTGCCTGCAGTTTTCACTTTGTTTTGCCTCCAGCTAGCGCCGTGACGTAACTGTGACGTCGGCGCAAAAGGGGTCTATTTGACAACTATATTTCGAAATGAAACAGAAATAAGCAGCATTTTGTCTGAGAAATAATAAAATAGACACTTTTTCATTTATAATTTGTCTTAAATCTCGTTCGTTAAAAAAATCGTGAGAAAATCATATCGTGAAACCGGTATCGTGAATCGTAACGTTACATCCCTACTTTCAATTGATGCAGTAATACTACAATAAATCAGTTATTTGTGGCTTCAAATGAATATAAGAATTTGTTTTTAAAAAATGACCCAACACATGTCATAAACATCTTGTGAAAGATCAAACTTTTAATTGGGTTGATATAATCCCCCACTGTAGTACATGCAGTATCTTGCAATTGACCTTGCTTGAGTCAAGACATGCAGACATTAATATTCAGCAGAACAATGGTAACAATTCAATTTGATTTATTATTTATTGTAACAATAATAATTTTATTTGCTGTCTTTGTTGTCCTACTGACACAAGACAGAAAAGGGCAAATAAAGCAAATAATTTGTAAAACAAAGCAATTGCTTAATTTATTCATGATGCAATTCATTCTGGGAGTCATTGATTATGTGCAGCTACAGTTGAGAGTAAATCTAAAGTAAATTATCAGGTAATCTCTATAGTTCTTTTTTAGTTACTCTTGTGTAAGTGAACTAAGCATTTGTCAGTACAACTAATACTATTTCTCTTTACGTTTTTTATTTTTTTATTTTTTGCGGCAGTTATTAGCATGCAGCGGCTAATCAATAGGAAGTCTCACACACTCAAAGAAAATAGTTTACTTCTGTATTGCAAAATAAGGTTTAAAGAAATATATTGATTGAAAATTTTAAAGAGAACTTTATTGAAAAAAGTTTGAAAAATTGCTTAAAGGGTTAGTTCACCCAAAAATGAAAATTCTGTCAGTATTTACTCACCCTCATGTTGTTCCAAACCTCTATGTGTTTATTTCAATCAAACAGATCTCATTCCCCATTGACTACCATAGGAAAAAAATCCATACTATGGTAGTCAATGGGGAATGAGATCTGTTTGATTAAAACATTCTTCCAATATCTTCCTTTGTGTTCAGCAGAACAAATAAACACATAGAGGTTTGGAACAACATGAGGGTGAGTAAATACTGACAGAATTTTCATTTTTGGGTGAACTAACCCTTTAATCAACTACTCAGCCATTTATGTTGTCCAAATTGTGTCCCACAGGTGTTATGCAGTATAAAGAATTTGGATGGGAAGTGAATATGCCGAAAGACATTCACGGCCTCCAGGGTTCCTGTCTGGTTATACCATGTTCTTTCTCTTACACATCAAACCCACCCAAAGACCCACGTAGAGTTGTGTGGTATCAGTGGGTCTCTAAAGGTTATCCTTTAGTTTATGATTCTCTGCATGAAGATGATGTTATTGAGAAGTTTAGAGGAAAAACTGATTTATATGGAAGCACAAGTGGGGATTGCAGTCTGCTGATCAAAAAACTGGAACCATCCCATCATGGAGAGATACTATACACAAGGATTGACCCTAAAAATGTAGCATGGGACACCTATAAATTTTACGATGTCACCTCCACAATTCTTGTTGATGGTATGTAAATATTTTTGCAATAATATTCTTTCACTGTAATATCGGTAATTGTCCAACTGTAGTATTGTGTGGACAATAACTATAGATACAATAAAATTCTTTACCCAAAATGACAAACTAATGGCAAGAGTACTTAATTATTTTTATTTGCATTATTTTTCAAAGTTCTAGCATCATTTGCATTTTTTGTTGTTGTTTCTAATGCAAAGAAATTCAGACATTTCCAAGTGTATGATGTATTATTTATAATGTTTCTGTAAATTATAGCAAATCCGCAACAGCCAAGCATCAGTATTCACGGAGGTGACAAGACAGGTGAAGGCATCACTATAGTATGTTCGACTTTCCACACATGTCCATTCAGAAAACCAGACATCATTCTGACTGGTACTGAAGGAACGAACCAAATAAATGACGAGCATATTAAAGACGGCCTGTGGAAAATCACTCTGACACGCATAGGCTTCGTAAAATCAGAAAGCTTGACTATTAAGTGTTCTGTAACATATTATGATGGCAAAACAGTGACAGCTACAGAGGTCAAAAGTGCACAATGTAAGTGAAAAATAAAGTGTCATTTCATTTTAAATTTCACATTTGGACCCATTTCAAGATTTCACTTAAATTTCAGGTGTTCCTGATAAAATGACAATTGAGCCTGAACTGGCTGAGGTCACAGAGGGCGTTGCAAAGAACTTCACTTGTTCGGTCTATCACTCCTGCCAGAGAGAGACTCCAACCATCACATGGAACTATGAGAACATGCAGATCTCAATGTGGAGCAAAACACTCTCTGGTTTAGATCGGGTCACCAATTCCAACATAACCTTTCTGGGTGCAAAAGAAGAACATGGGAAGAAACTGATTTGCACAGCAACATTTTCTGGAGAAAACACTGAAACCTCTGTTGTTTTACATGTACAACGTGAGTAATATGTTAGTCTTCTCTATGTGTCTCCTTATTTTAGTGGAATCTCATCTATTTTGGCTAGAATTTTTTGATAAATTTCTATTTTTGAAAATGTAGTGTAGGTAATCACACCTCTCATAACACAATTTTATTATTATCACATACATCAAAAATTAAAACGTGTCAGAAATAAAAACCACAGAAGTTGGAAATAGCTCTCCTCAACACTGAAACAAGGGTCGGGCCTGATCTTATGTGCCGCCTGCCACCTGTCAAGAGACAGAGGAAGAAAGTAAAAGGAAAAACCAACAGAGTTCACTAACCTTTAATAACCATTACAGTGCCAACCTTCTAAAACAAACCACAATGACTCGAGTTTCAGTGCAGCTTCAAAAGGCTTTAAACGACACCAAACAATAAATAATAAAAAAATAACGGTCTTATCTAGCGAAGCACAAATGCTCGCCTTGCTCTCTATGATGAGGGTTCGTGACTCACCTGTTCAAACTCGTTCATCAAAATGAACAAATCTTTTTTTGTGTCATGACTCGAATGGGTTTGGGACACCGAGAACCTTCTCAGACAATGGGGTGTCTCAACTTCATTAACATACAGACCACAGCTGTTGCAACAAGAGCAACTTTAATTACATTAAAGGAGAACTCCGGCAAACAATGAACCTTTGGTCTAATAAAACATCGGTACCTAGTCAACCGTTCTCTGAGATTTGTTTTCATGATAATCGAATGTAAAGCGTTTTATCTCTAAAAACTGTTTAGCGTATAATGCTAGTATTTGGGGGCATTGACAGAAGTGAACTGTCTTCATAAAGTATCTTCTTATTAAACGGTCTGTACTCTTACAAAGTTCTCAATGCTTCGTTTTGCATGTAGGGACCCTCATTATGTTACTGTGTTAGTGTGGGGCTATTTTGAGCCTTGTTAGTGGTATTAACTAGCGATTTATTTTTACTTACTACTCAATGCCCCCATTACTAGCATTATATGCTGTTTTTAGAGATAAAACTCTTTACATTCGATTATCATGAAAACAAAACTCAGAGAACGATTGACTAGGTACCGATGTTTTATTAGACCAAAGGTTCATTGTTCGCTGGAGTTTTCCTTTAAGACCAGGATAAAAGCTTTGAGATTTTTGAGATGTTCTGGGTTCATTCTGACGCTGGTGAACCCAAGGTGCTTCGTGCTAAACTTAATTTTTGAGATCTTCAACATCCATTTTTTTTTCTTACACATTGCATTTTTGAAATTTTTAATGACATAATGAACTGCAAATGGTTGTGTAAATGGTCTTCTCTTAAAGACACTTGTCAAACCATTTAAATTACCAAACAGTTAACATTGAGCCTTGTTAATGCAATTCACTTAATTGCGTAATTTAAATTCCAAGCCTAAGGCTCAAATGTGAATGTTCACTAACGCCACAATCTTCTACCCTTGATTCTCCTACAGAGTATCAGAAACCAGTGGATCCAATCCTGAAAGAAAGTATGTGTTCTTATTCTGTAGCTACTCTCATATTTATATTATTGCACTGCACCATATTTGGGTTTTCAAATAATAGCCTACTGATTAATCTATGTGTCATTTAAGCTCATTTCCAATATGAGGCTGATGTGATACCCAAGATCACTGCGTTGCCTCGTTCCTGTGTGGTAATACCCTGCAGTTTCAAGATGGAAGAAGAATATGCCACTCGACTTCGCGTTCTTTGGGTCACCAAAAAAGGGGGCTATATGTTCCACACTGACTCACATGAGGTCTTAGACAACTTCAAAGGCCGCACAAGGCTCCTGGGAAACCCGGATGAGCAGAACTGCACTGTGGAGATGGATAAAGTGCAAACTCACGACAACGGCCCATTCTGCTTCAGAGCAGAAAAAGAAAACGAGAAATACGGTTTCAACAACAGTTGTGTGTTCATTATAATGCGGGGTGAGGAACTACTCATGATTGGTTATAAAAATGCTTTTAAAGATGCATCACATGTCATAATATAACATCTTTGTGTTTCTTGCTGAAAAGCTTCTCCTGACAAACCTGTGATGTCATCCCTCCCTGAAGACATCGATCCCGGGACACGCGTCACCGTCAGTTGCTCAGTCAACCACACGTGCTCCTCTCACCCTCCCAAAATCAGCTGGAGCGTCCCAACAGCCCGAGAAACTATCAGCCACAATCCCATGGGCGGAGGCGTCTGGGAAACCGTGTCCACTGTGACCTTCATTCCAACTGGATATGAAGAGAGAGATGAAATTGTCTGCAGTGCCAACTTTTGGGGTGGTAAAACACAGAACAAAACTTCCATCCTGAGTGTTAAGAGTGAGTATCGACTTTACAGTTACATCCAAGATGATTTGGAGGATCTCTGATTTTATACATCTTAATGAGATCGGCTTATGCATTGGTCAATGTTTCAATATGACTTTTCAAAAGGAAACAACTTCATGATGTGTAAGAGATGTGACTTTCCTTTCAGAAATTGAAGTTAAAGAGAATCAACTGGAGACTTTCGGGTTTTATGCCATTGCTCCATCACTTGTGTTCATCCTCATTTGTGTACTTGCTGGAGTCTGCATTTACAAAAGACGGCACAGGTAACTTTTTTCCTCATTCTTCATAATTTCTGTATTTACATTTGAGGTCTTTATCTCAAACTAGATGCCAAACAGAAAGTGAGGCTGCAACTTAAAAATGCTTTAAGGAAGTTAAACAAAAATTTAGGCCCTATCATACACCACGCAATATTTGTTTCTGTTATTTAAAGTGCACGTTAATAATGCGCCCCTATAGGCGGGTCCACAACGTGCATACTTATTACACACAGTGGCCCTCATTTATCAAAAGTGCGTACACTGAATTTCCAGTGTACACCTGGCGTGAGTGTGTGGAGGTGGGGCTAATTTGCACATTCATAGACCCGCGGATACTAAATGAGGCAAGGGTGTAGAGTTACATTAAAGCTACACTGTAAAAAATAATCCTGTAAAAAAACTGTAAACTACTGGCAGCTGTGGTTGCCAGCATTATACCGTAAAAATACTGTGTGTTACTGTTTTTTAAATTAACAGCTAAATACCGTATATTCATCTACAGTACAAAACTTGAATTTAAAGCAGCGCTCAGTAAGACTGGAAACTTCTTTGCTGTTTTCTCGCAGGTTTCTCTCTCGAGCTCCCCCTACAGTTTCGGAGTATATATACATGAGAAAACTGTCGTAAACTCGTTGTCAACTCCCCCTCCCATCTCGTTCAGGCAGGCCATGTGAATTTGTTTTCAGAGAAGCCGGCGAACAAACGGATTTTGTCCCCACCACTTTTGAAACATCTCGCGGCACAGATGTACCAATGCAAATAAAACATCTCCAGTTAACAGCATTCGTTTCATTTGTTTGTTAAATAACAGGCGATCTAGCACTGAAATGTGTTGGCTTCTCTCAGAAACGCGCTTCAATCCGTTGCGGAGATTCTTTCCGGTGAAATCACAAATAAAAATGCACACAAACGTGTCCCTTTTTCTCATGGTTTCTAATTCCTCTCTCGTATATTTTCCCCCACTCATCAAAACATATAAAACCACTAATAAACATTATATCAATTCAACCACTGATAAACATTATTGGTTTTGATGAGGGGGAAATAAAAACTATTCGAGTGCGGAACCTCTGGCCGGACCATCACTGTATTGTGCTCATTTTTATTTATGTGCATCAGGAAGCTATGGACATCGTCGTTCAAAATATTACCTACTCGAAAGAGAAAAAAGAATGAATGCGTTACCCAGCACTTTTGAAAATGCCCTTCCGAATGCGTCTCTGTCCCCAGCACATTTCAAACCAAACTGACGCCCGAGCCATCCACTGCGGTATGATTCTCAGAACAATATTATTCAAATGTTGAGATAGTGTATATTTTTATTGTGTTACCAAACGTTATCAGTAACATTATGGTTAAAAATCAATAATACTATAAGAAATATTTCCGCTATTTATTTATTTTTAGTTTAGCCTACAGCTATAGCTACTTTGATTATGCATTATCAAAATACATGTTACGTTACATTCATCATTTTTCTGGTGATCCGAGTTGTCTATCGTAACGATTGACCAAAGAAAGTCAAACACGTTTAATTTGTTTATTACAAGTTTGTTTATTTTATTATTGAAGCTTGAGACCGGTGGTACTGGTGGTCTGGGGTGCCTCGGAGTTGATAACACTTGCCAACGCTTGTAGCTAAAAAGGAAAAAGAAAATGTATCAATCTTTTATCAACATATCATTTATAGACAAGGTCAAAATAGCACAGATGGAGTTGCATGTGTGAAGTTGCAATGCAATTTCTCGTGTACTTATAGTTCTGTTTGTGTAAATGTGGGTAAATAAATATAAAAAAGTTGCATTATTAGCTAGCAGCTCTCGTGTCGGTTTATGCATTATCAAGTCAGCAGCACAGTATAACGTTACTAATTCTGAGGCTGACGACAAGCTAAACTAATGCATAATTTGTAGAATTTCATATCGATTTATAGGCGATCTGAGAAACACAAATAAACCCTGATAGAGGAACGGACAAAACACTTACAGAAAACAAGCAAGTTTGTTTGCTAATGAAAATGCTAACATCTAAGTTACAGTATCTAACGTACTAGTAAGCCGGTAACAGACAGCGAGCATAATATAATAATAAGAAAAAACAGACAATAGCAAACATCCCGACTCCCGAGGTCACAATTACAAGAAATACAAACATTAAACACAGTTTATTATAAAGATACTTACAAGTGCAACAGCAAGAAGGCCAGGTCAGCATCGGTTTTACAGGCTTCGCTTTCTTTCAGTTCTCTCTATTCTGAAAAAGCCGGTCCGTTTCTCTTCTTTGTTTCTCTGATAAACACTTCCGAGCTGTCTTCTTCTTCTTTTACATCAGCCATCACGAAAACTTGAAGAATTCAATATCTAGCGTTACCTTTTTCTTATAGCTAGCCGGCTCCTGGATGGCCGGGGGCGTGTACGCATGCGTGTGCGCGTATAGTGCCGTAAAGCAATTCGTTACCTCGCGAGACCTGAAATCTCACGATACTTCCTAACACTGAGGCCGGCGAGCCGCCGGCCCAAAGTTGCAAGGGTGGTTTTGCGGCTCACAGGCACCAGGGGGGTGCGAGATGATCACCATTCAACACGAAATCAGTAATATTAACATTACAATGACTCCAAAGCTGTTCAGTTAAGGTAAAAAAAGTTACTTAGTTCTGCTTTAACAGCTCTATGCTCGAACACAAAAACAGTAACACACCGTATAGTTACGGTATGATGCTGGCAACCACAGCTGCCAGTAGTTTACCGTTTTTTTACTGGATTATTTTTTACAGTGATGAAGAATTTGATTTTTTTTTAAAGGGAAACAGTTTAAATTTCTGTTTACAGGGGGACTTTAAGAATTGCTTTTTCCACTTTTTTGAAAACTGGGCCTAAACTGATAAAACTCTTTAATGACAAATGGGTGTCTTTGGATTCATTAGGACATACTGAGAAAATTTAATTATGGATCTGTTTTTATCAGACAGCATTGCCAGCCTCTCATTTTACATTGTCATTATTAATTGTAGACAACCGTGTCAAGATATTCAAGGGTCACAAACACGATCTGAACATAGGTATGTTTATTTCATCAAATTTAACTGATTCATGTCAAAACCTTTAATTAGATAATAAAGTGATCATTTTAACCCTGTTCTCTGACTTAGGAGATCAGTTTGGAACAGATTCTCAAGGTTGGAGTTTTTTTTTTACTGAACCTACATTTGTGTCTTTGTATTTGTTCCTGAAACTAATTCTTTTTTTTTTCTTTTTTCTTTTTTTTAGTCATTTTAATATGCCTGATGGTAGAGCAGCTTGGACTAACAGGGGAAACAGGGGTGATATCAGGCAAGTACAAAACAAAAAGGTAAAAAAAAAAAAAAAAAAGGTGTGTCCAATGCACTAAACTTGTGCAATCTACAGGTACAATGGAAATACTCCTGAAAGACCACCGAAGCCTGAACAAAGGCAGGTTGAAATATAATTATAATATTAAAATAAAAATAGGCATAAACTATGCACAAATTATGTTTGTAATTAACTTATACCAGCAATCTGCAGGTACACTGGAAATGCTCCTGAAAGGCCACCGAAGCCTGAACAAAGGCAGGTTGAAAATATAATATTAAAATAAAAATAGGCATGAACTATGCACAAATTATGTTTGTAATTATACCATTTAAACATCACTTTATTATATTTAAATGTCACATCTCTCAACAGACGATCAATCTGGAGCCGACTTTCTAGGTAATTACATTTTCTGTGTCATGCATTTCATTTTTAAATAATAAAACCTTCCAATTTGATAACTTTGTTCTCTTTTTTAGACACCAATCACCCAGAAACAATGCAAATCTGAGAGCAGAATACAAGTTCGTTTTTTTTTTCTTAAAAAGAAGAATTCAGAACAAACAAAAAAAAACATCCATTTTAGATTTTACACTATACAAATAAATAACACCAAACTTGTCTTTGTATATTAAAAATAGCAATGCATATTAAAATGTATTTATATTAAAAAAAATATTTTAAGAAAAATGTGAATTATTTTAATATTCCTCTCTATACAAATGGCCAACACGGCATCACTGATGAACCTTCTCTCTTGACAGGGCAAACAACACATATACAGAGTCAGGAAACAAGCCTTTCTCCAAACCTCATATTCCATCACCTAAGAGGTACAGTGCATTTGAACCACATACGGGTCCATCAAGGTCTAAATTCATTATATTCATCATACACAGCAACATAATGCTGTTGAATGCAGTCTATAATCAAAGTGTCAAAAGTCCCCATGCCACTTCAAGATTCCTGAGTTTGGTTCATTGTTTGTTATAATGAAAAACGAACTGCATAATTTGTGGTATAGCTGCTGTTTTATCATTATGAATATTTATTTAAATAACAATGTTTATATTTCAGAAGCACTGTATGTGTCCCTCTCCATCGTCATATGACAGATGATTTAAATAAATAATAAACAAACAGTCAATTATAGTTTTATCATTACGTAGGTTAACACTTGCAAATTGCAATGCAAACATTATTGTGATTTTTAAAATCTTTTTTTTTTCACCGTTAATTGCAGTGGGCCAAAATCCTACAGTGTGAGTATACATTTATCACTTAATTTCCTCTTTTACAACATGGAAAACCTTCAATTTCTGTGATGTCAAATGATTTCTGAAAAATATGCTGAAATATGACTGAGCTCTCTGTTTCTTTAAATTTTCCTTTAAGGGTCATGATTATAACGCTGCTTGCACCAACCTATATGGAAATGTCTGATGAAAATGAAACATTATCAGGGCTGTTTGGAGTTTGAGCTGTTCAATTTCTATGTCCTGTCCTTCTGCTCAACATTGTTTTATAAACGACAACGTGAAATGGATATGGAATATATATATATATATATATATATATATATATCACAATTTTTTTTTTTTTTGCGTGAATGTTACAGTATGCTTATATTACCTGTCTTTAAAATAAATAAAAATGAGTTTGGCTTGAGTGTTCACAGTTTTTTGTTTGTTTGTTAAAAATTGCTTGCTTTGATTATCTAAAAAGATATATTTTTGCTTTTTAAGTATTTTTTTTTTTAAAGTGAAGACATCCAAGCAATTACAACGTAGTCTTTCTGACTCCAACCTTAAACCTTCATTTACTTAATGAATTTAAAATTTTTATGATGCTTTACTTACCCAATCCACTCGTTTGACCAGGGGACTAAAACCGATATAAAACGGGAAATGATTTGTTGCATTTAAGCAAAAAAACAAAAAAAAACAGACGACTAATCGTCTATTTTGAAGCCACTTTCACTTCTCAGTTTGTTAGTTTCTTGTGGTTCAGGCAACAGCTGAAAACATCATAAGATTGTCAAAAAGTAAAAAAAAAAAAAGTAAAAAAAAAAACCTACAATATAACTTTCACACTAGTGAAGGTCCCTTAAATACATGAATGATAATGATACTGAATACTCTAACATGGATGAAATCAACATGTATGGAAACATCTGATGATAACAAAGATCCCTTTCGTTGTCACTCAGAGTTCCGTCGGATGACGACAAATGGGGTTTGGCTTAGAAAGCCTATCGACTTTGAGTATTACAAAACGAGACAATGACAAAGAAATGCTGTGGGTCTGCTGAATTTGCATGGCGCAACTCCGCCCCACCTTGTGGGTATAAAAGGAGAATGCTGGCAACATGGTGATATGTTTTCGAAGTTTTCCTCACTCCTGGAAACCTATTCTCTGACTATCTTCAAGAATCTTCGAGATGAGCAGTTTTCAGTCAGTGTTGGTGTGATGGCAAGTTCCAGCGAGTTTCATATTCCTGCCTGCTGAACTGAACAGCGTATGATTTTCTCCCTGGGCTCTGAGCACTGCTACAAGCTTTTCTCTCACAAAAAGAGGGTGTATGCGGCACATCTTTCTAAAGACGCATCTTTCTAAAGACGATCTGCCCGTGTATTTTTGACTGCGATGTTGTGATAGATTCAGCTGATGGGCGCGAGCACTGTTTTGACATGTTTAGCTTTGATCGCGTTCAGACAGTGTGTCACGTTCTCCCAGCGGGAACGTGACCATTGCAATGTAACGGTCGACGCTCATCATCCATACCTAGATCCATTTTTTTCTATGTGAGATAATACTTCGGCTGGTGGCCAGGGTGACCTGAGACGGCAGGTCTGGAACTAAACCGAAGAAAAATCCTCGGCCCACATTGCAACCCATGTGGTCCCGAGTGAGTTTGCGGGCCCATGGCTTCATTCGGTCCCCCAGCTGATGAAATCATATTTATTGCCGCATCACAAGTAGGGTTGCAAAGGAGCAGAACATTTCTGGTAAATTTCCATGGGAAGTTAAGCTTGGGAATTTTGGAAATATTCCATATTAGAAACTTTCCATAGGAATAATGGGGATTAATTGTAATGGAATCGATCATTGTATCATATCCAGGCAAAAATATAACGGGACAGGACCCCAGCGCCTATGGCATATCAATCGCCTTGAGTTGCTGGCAGTACGTCTTGCTCTGCACCGCTTCCGGGCGTTGCTCAAGGGTCAGCATTCTAGTCCGATTAGACAATACCGCCACTGTAGCATACATCAACCATCAAGGTGGTCAAAGCATTTCCCCCAATATGCATTTACCCCAGTGAGCCGCCTTGCGCAGACCCTGTGCAAAGTCAGGGAGGGCGAGGAGCAGGTCATTTTGGGTTGTGCCGCACTGGCCCACCTGGTTCTCAGAACTCGTACTCCTCGCGACAGCACCTCCCTGGCCAATTCCTCTGAGGAAGGACCTCCTTTTTCAGGGACATGGCACCCTATGACACCCTCCCCTCGTCCCGGTCTTTGGAACCTCCACATTGGCTCCTGGATGGGACGTGGCAGGTTTGAGTACCTGACCACCAGCGGTGGTGGCTACCACCACTTCTGCTAGAGCGTCGTCCATGAGACATGCCTACGCGTTGAAGTGGAACCTCTGCGTCAACTGGTGCTCTTCTCACCGAGACGACCCCGGAGATGTTCGATTGCAATCAGTGGAGCTTAAGTTGCATTGGTTGCATTGGCCTCCATCAAGAGGTTAGGGACCTGCACGCCTTCTCCTTTGACGTAGCATGCCTGGAATTCAGGCCAGCTAACTCTCACGTATTCCTGAGACCCCTGACTGGATATGTGCCCAAGGTTCCTACCACTCCATTCCAGAACCAGGTGGTGAATCTGGAAGCGCTGCCCCTGGAGGAGGCAGACCCAGCCTTGGCACTGCACTGTACAGTACGTGTTCTCCGAACCTGAGAAGGCAGAATGCAGTGTTTCAGGACCTCAGACCAGCTCTTTGTCTGTTATGGTGGGAAGCTGGAGGGAAAGGCACTCTCCAAGCAAAGGCTGTCTCACTGGATAGTGGACGCCATTGCTTGGCATACCAACAGCAAGGTCGACCGTCCCCCCTTGGTGTGACTGCCCTCTTGGCACCATGCTAACAGACATCTGCAGAGCTGCAGGCTGGGTGACACTGAATAGATTTGCCAGATTCTACAATCTCCGAGTGGAACCAGTGTTTCTCCCATGTACTCGCTTCAACCAGCCGGTACTAGGACCCACTCAGGTGTCTTTACTTGCACTACCCATTCCACTCCACGAACTGGATACATGCGATATCTCCTCAGGTGAACCTCACAAACACCCCAGTGTTTCTCCATATGCATCCCTCCTGGTCATAAGTATATTCTCTAAGTGGGACGTGTGCAGAAGGACAGAATGGGGCATGTTCAAAAGGATAGAAGATAAGCTTGCTTGGACCAAGAGCACAACAGAGTGGTTGTAGTTGTACAGAGTAGTTGTTTTTGAAATGACATGTGTTTATGTGTGGGTATACATGGATAAGAGGTGTTAGGATATGGGGTACTGAAAACTATGTACGTACAAGGGGCCTTAAGTTAAGAAAAAAACACAAGCTCTTGTATGAAGATAAGAAGGGGAGGGGTACATTTTTGGAGTATGTTCTTATATATATAAACTGTGTACGATGAGAAGACTATTGCCCTTCTCATAGCAGACTCTGAACTGCCTTTCTTGCAAGAAATAAATACGTATACTTATTCAATATCTTCATTTGGTCTTCAATTGTTATTTGAGATCTAGGAAAAGATTTTCCACGACACTACACAAGGGGTTTTCAACATGACTGTCAGAGGGTTCTGGCTATTGTTAGAATTTGTAGGCCTACTATTCCTACCCCAAAACAACTCAGAGAGGTGTTTATTATAAATCAAAAAGAAGAAAATAACCAAAAAGTGGGAACTAATGCCTGGTTCAGATTACACGATTTTAGCCAGATTTTGGCACGATCCCTTTGACGTAGGGTGTTGTGGGGATTCGTGAACGACAACGGCCGCCTGGACGCAAGATTCGATCGTATCATCTCGTATAGTGTGTCATAGAGGGCGACAGCCTATGTCACGTTAAAAACTAGATTAGTCTGCGATGCTTCACGACATCACGACAAAAAGACTAGCATGTTTAATTTTTTAACGGTCATCCACGACGGTTCCGTCACATGTATGAAGTTAACCAGTAGGAGCACAAGCTTTTCCGTATACAACTTTCAAAAAAGACAAAACGAAAGAGAGACGATGGCGCTAATGTTAAAACTAGAAGTAAAAATATTTAAGAAAACAATATTTTACCTCAAGTTCTCTTTGGAGGATTGACAGCCCACACTGTTCTCTTCGAGCAGGGTTCTCAAGTCTCACGCAATGGCCGTGAGACACACGCAATTCAACCAGTTCACACACTCACACGCCACACCGTGTATTTCTCAGGCTGAAAAGGCAATGCAGAGCAATCCAGGAAGTCACTCGCTACGAGTTTCACCTTCTCGATGACATCACGCGCGCCATTACACATGGCATGTGATGACTGGTCAGAAAGTAACGTGTAGTCTGACATGTGTCTTGTCCACGACACGACAAGATTTTAGGAGCCAAAATCGCATAATCTGACACAGTGACTATCGTAACAGACAAAAAAAAAGTGTAATCTGAACCAGGCATAAGGAGTAGGCAATAGATATATAACTGATTTTTAATGGTGTTCTTGCATTTATTGGACGAGCTGGCACATCGACCACAATGTGTGCAGTTCATATTGTTACCATGCTCAAAACCTCCTGGACGTTCGAGGATACCAGTAGATAATAAGCAGGTTCCATATAGTTAGAGTTAAGAGATATGTCTCCTCGAGGTGGTGGTGGGATCAACGGACTACAAAACAAAATGCATTCTCAGTGAAAACTACAATACCAAGACAAAAAAATCCCATAAATGCTCAAGACAAGTATACTACAAAGGTCTTCAACCCTGCTCTTATGGACCCCTCAAACACTCCTGAACTAACTAATCATCAAGCTCTTCAGGGTAGCTTGAAAGTCACTGGCAGGCATTCTGAAGCAGGTTGGAAATAAACTTAGCAGGATAGGTGGTATCCACGAGGATCCATTGGCTTTTGCATTATTGCAAAAAATAAGCTCTGTGACCAAGAAAGGTTTATAATTCTTACGGGATTGTTGAACGCCACTGTTGTGAATTTTGAAGGCTAAATACAATCAGTAGAAGTAAAAACCTAAATGTAGGCTACTTTTTGTCTTTGCATGATTGTGTTTATGGGGTGCAATATAACATGTATTCGTGGTTTTTCTTTTTTTAAAAGTCTTATTTTTCATAAATTTCACCTGTAAGCCACGTTCTCCTCTGTCCTCTGAATGACTGGTTGACTTCCTGAGTCGAAACCACTCCCTCAGAAACAGACAGTGGACTCAGATTGTTTAGTTTTGGCCAGAGTGTTGTGAATGGCTAAACTGTAGCTCACGTGTAGGTGCTCCAGTCCAATGGAGAGCCACTCTGGTCCAATGTACAGTAAATAATGGTGTCGATACTGCAGTATCGGTATGAGCCAGATGCAGACCCAGAAAGCGGCGATGAAGAGAGTCAAGCAGAACCTCCCTAAACACGGCTCTTAAAAAACGTTTCTGAATGGTAATTTTTTTAACTTTATATACGTTTGTTTTACACTGACTGGCTACTAACGTTATATACACAAACTGAGCCAACATTGGTTTACGTTCTTGATCAAATCGAAAATAACGTCATAATACATTTAAAACATTAGTACTTATGCAAAATTCAGGTCCATAAAGCCAGCGCTGGCATTTGATTAAACTAAAACACAAGGCTACGTCTGAAATTATACATGCAAATATACATTTAAAATGATTAAGTCTTAGCCTAGTTACAGGTTGTGGCCCAACAACTGCTGCCTCTGGTTTTAAAGTTGGAACTGCTTCATGTTTTAGTAACAGTTTCTTGTTGAATCCGGTGTTGAATTCGTGGAGATTCTGGAAGCTGTCTTCCATAAATGCGCAGCACAGAGAGCTAAATTACGATCGTCATTTTCAGGAACATAATCAAACATAAATTGCATCCATTGTTGACGAAGTACAGCGTCTGTGGGAAGCTCGAACACAGAAGACCTGACAGCTGGGTAAACACAACACACTGGATGAGCCGCAGAAATATGATCATGCCCTTTTTTGCATTTTCCGGAGGGAGGGTTGAGCGTCTAAAACCCAGCTGTAGTCCCAGTCCAGTTGTTTTTGTAGGCAATATACTTCCTGATTTTTAAAAGACGATATCTCTGCTTAAGATAATTTATCAATTTAATCAATTTTCTAATCAATTTTCTAGTGATTTCTTCTCAGCTTTTCTCTTGTGTCTCATCTCTATTTCTGCAGTCTTTATTCAAATCTACCTCTTGCTCTTTCTCTCTCCTCCAAAGTCATATGCCCCCTAATGCTGATTGGCTACACACTTGGTTTGGTGTTTATTCGTGTGTCGACCCGACTAACTTCCAAACAACAGCGTTCTTGAACTACCTATTACCCCACCTTTAAGGAGCAGACTTAGCATTTTGATATCAAAAAACAGTTTGTTGCCATGCAAGTACTATCTTATAATGTTGCTGTAATATGACTATGCATGTATAACATATATCTGAGTTTTTCTAGATTAAATATACTTATCCACACATACATACTGTATATACATACTTCGATTTTGCATTATTTTACAGTTAACATAAAACATAATTTGTAAGTACATTTGGCTGTTCTTTAATCCAACTATGCCTCACAGGTTAATCAAAAAGCCTACATAATTATCACCATCTAAATCATATGTTTGAAGAGTTAACAAAACTTTGTCAGTGAGCATTTAAAATTGAGCAGAATAGGAGGAACCAGTGAATTATTTTGTGACCTGGAGGCCAATCAAAGGTCAACTGATTAGACCAAATGCTCTCAGAAATAATAATCTTTGTAACAATAGTGAAAGGAAACTTGTATAATCCTTATCTAACTCAATAGCAGGTTCAGAACACATTTTCTGCTTTGTTTTTAAATATACCACTTAAAGAACATAAAACAGACCCTTTTGTCACGATCACAAATGGTGATGCTTCTTGTCAGGAAATGTCAGTGTGATGAGCCTCGACAAGGAAATCTTTTTTTCATCTTGGTGGGCGTGAGCCTCACAGCAACAAATATGCTAACAATTATGAAAAACAACCTTTTCCTGTCTTTCACTTGCCTTCTCTTATTTTTATTTTTTTCTTCTTGGAAGTAGGTTATTTTCCCAGTCGTCTACAGAGGACTTCTTAGAAGGTAAGAATGGAAAAAGGAGAAATATTAATTTCTTTAAGAACGCTGAAATGTAAGAGGTAAATTTGAGCAATACTGTTCAGAATGCTGGAAATTCATAAATTCTAACCATTATAAGCATGTCATTTTGCATTTTGTCTTAGTTTTGACCAAGGAAAATGAAAGCACAGCTGTTACTCCATTTACTTTTCCAAGGTACAGTGTCTATTTTTCTCTTTTAGAGATTTTTTTTTGGTTCACAATAAATGTTTAAATTAATTAATATAATTCAGGGTTCCTCAAACTCCGTCCTAGAGGGCCACTGTCCTGCAGAGTTTAGTTTGCAGATCAAACACACTACCTGTGAGTTTCTAGTGATCCTGAAGAGCTTTATAAGCTTGCTCCGGTGCGTTTGATCAGGGTTGGAGCTAAACTCTGCAGGACAGTGGCCCTCCAGGACCGAGTTTGAGAAACCCTGATATAATTTAACCGAAATCAGTGGCGGCTACTGGTCTTTCAAAGAAGAGAAGCTCTCTTAAAAAAAAAAAAAAAACTCGACTGTCAGGTGTGAGGATGGTGAAAAGAGCAAGGACTCAGGTGCAGAGTTGATTGAGAAGCACCCCCGGTCTCATCTGAAGCGCCTTTAATCCCCTGGGGACCAAAAACGCATCCCCATGTTTTGATTATTTTTTTTTTCCACATATAGCTGCAACATAGATTTAAAATACTCTGTCATTAATGGTTATATAAATAAAATCAATACATGATTAAAACTTTAGAGGGTCTTCTTGTGTGTACACTCTTATTAACATCCAAACCTTGTGTTTTTGTAAAATAAATAAAATAAACAGGGTGCGCTTTGAGCTCACTCTGTCTCCGCAAAAATCTTTCTGAAACGTGTCCGAAAAATGAACTTTCGAATACTGCATAAATATTAATAAATTCAATTAAACTGTCTCAAAATACTAATTTAAAAAGAATAAATATTATAGAACAAAAATAAATTGCATTGGTTTTACTGGGATGGAGAAAGTTTCATTTTTAGGTGTCCGGTCACTTTTTGACCGGGAAGATAACAATTGTGACTCCAAAACGAAGAGCACCTGAGGGTTAAGTAGCCTATAGTGTATGTTTTGTCAAAAAAAATAAACTAATAATAAAAAAACTAATAATAAACTAAGAACTTTGAAATATGTATGATAAAATGTAAATGCATGGCCTACTTTTAACATAATACTTTATATGGAAAAAGAATTTTCTTTTCCAACTCTAACTTTGAACCAATTCTACACAATGGCCCATATAACCTATTTGACCAGGATTTGTTTCCAGGTATTATTAAAATTGTTTGTTTGTTTTTTTTGACTTTCATTTATATTTTGATATATTACATAAATATATTCCAACAATTACGCGATTCCTTACTGCTCGATGATTTCTTAATCATATCTCTTCACGACGCCATCCGAGGCACACCTCCTCACGGTGGACGTCACACGGTTGAACGGCTTGATATGAGACAATGAAACACATAAAAGGAGATTAAAAAATAAACACTGGATGGATTTTTATCATGATGGTTGTGTACAGGCACTACCAACACACATTTCAGTACAATCGACTTGAAAAAGTGCATGTACCATTATATGACCCTTTAAAAAAAATACATTTCTGAAGTAGTACTGAACTATTTTAGAAATTAATTTTATTTGCAAATTTCTCATTGTTACATACACTGTAGGCAAACGTTGTCTTTGGAAATGCTGCCCTTAGCATCTGTTCCCTAAAAAAAAAAAAAATATATATATATATATATATATATATATATATATATATATATATATATATATACCAAAACGTATTTAAAATGCATTATTGTTTTGCAGTGTGTACTTTGATCTTAACACCATTAACCTTATTGTTTCTTATTCTCAGGTTAGATAAAGATAGTTGAGCCTGGCCTAATTTATAAGCATTTAAAATGACTTACAATCCAGTCAGAAGACTTCTGTAATATGTTCTTGTATAAAGTCTTTGAAAAATCAAGCCTCGTTGGGCAGTTATTGTAATCAATGAAATATCTTTTAATTGGTCACTTTCCTTTTTTCAAAAATATAATGGCAAATAATCACGCTTTGAGTCAAAGGTGTAGACAGTTCTGGGCTTCTTGTCTTCTTCTCGGCTTGTTGGGGTTTTTAATGACGTATCAGTTTCCAAAAAGGCATTGGTCTTGTTTACCCCTGTTGTTTCCCTCTGAAGTTCAGTTCTAATCTTCTTGATTGATGCAAGTTGTAACTTTTCAAAAGTTTCCACCATCCTTCTCAATGCCTCTTAAGTGCAAGCTGTCCGCCTATTCATTTCCTTGAACTCCAGAAAACTCAATCGACATGGCTTCTTTCCTTTTATTGTTTTAGTTGAACCACAGTTCATTGTGTCCTTAAGCACACATCACACACACATACGCACACACTTCTACTCCTTCTCATGGGTAGGCAAACACACATAAATAACTAACAATTACTGTACAGGTTTTAATGGACGACGATGGAGGACGGTTGCCTCCGCCGAAGTCCATTAAAACCTGACAATGGACACCTCGGAGGGCATTAACCCGCTTATACCATGGTCACTTGCCAAATAAACATTTTTAAAACATTAGTTTATATTTTAATTAGGCCAAATCTAGTTTTTACTAATAGTAACGTGCCTGACGGTTTATTTAACGTTAGCAAATATTTATAGTCCGCTCAGCTTGTAGAACCCTTCAGGTTCAAAAATGCATTTTTTTTTTTCATGAAACACAAAGGTAGGCATAGTTATTTATTTATTACACATAAAACAATTAATCAAACAAAAATCAAAAAACACACACACAAAAAAAACAATTAGTTCTGAGCACCAGCGATTTGCGCTTAGAGAGGGCAATAAACTAATCAGATCAAAGAGAGGGTCATTTGCCGAATGGGTCCGAAACGGGTCCGACCGAGTGCGGTGCGAAGAAAATCGTCCGTTGGTCATCCGGATGCGTTCAAAAATTTGAACTCGTGCGAAAAGCTACGGATGGTTCCTATCCGACAATTCCAGCAGAAGTTGAGCGTTGCTATGGTACTGACAACCAAACCTGAATTATTAACTTTTAATAAAATAAATTATGATTTTATAACGATAAGTTGTCATGTCATTTTTTATTTTCATGACTTTCTAACGTTTATAAGGGCAGTTAATACAATTAAATTTAAGGTAGACATTGAACTATTGACCACTATATCCAACACTATCTCACGACCAATTCGTACGAATTCGACACATGATTAAAAAGTGTCTAATTCGTACTAATTCGTACGACCTCACTCGTACTAATTCGTACGATTTGTCTAAACCCACGTGATGGTTAGGTTTAGGGGCGGGGTAAGGGGTAGGTCAGTCGTACGAATTCATATGAATTGGCCAATTCGTAAAATATGTACGATTTAGCAAAATTTAATCCGTACGAGTGAGGTCGTATGAATTGTTACGAATTAGCCACTTTTTAATCATTCGTCGAATTCGTACGACTTGGTCGTGAGATCGGGTTGCTATATCACATATTTTAGCCGACCTGACATGTATCATCAGAGAGATCATACAGAACTGACAGAATCAAACTTTAATAAAAAAAAAAAAAAAAAAAAAAAAAACAGAATCAAACTTTAATCTCTCTCTCTGCCATTTTTGTTCTACCCGTGTCCGACGCTTTTCACTATGTAGTACGACGTCCGTTGGGAACGTATTGCGTATTACGGAGCTGATTTCAACTGCCAGTGTGAAGGCGGCGTAAGCCCGCAGACTGCTCTCGCATCGATGGCCTGTCACCGACATTATTTGACGGCTCTCCAGTCCAGCATCGACCTACAGCATACCAGTCGTCAAAGTTGCCATATTCTCCTTAAATGTTAAAAGAAATAACGAAGTCGCTCATTGTTGTATTATTAGGCTATAGTATCTAACGTTAGATGTTTGTTTTGATAGAGCGTTTGACTGCCTGTTGCTATGGTTACTCACAGCTGTTGTAGGCAGCACATTTATTTATTCATTTCGAATGGTAAACAGGCAATTTCACCAGAACTACTTTACTAGGTGTCCTCTATCACTTTTTAATGGACACCCTGCAGCCAATCAGAATCGAGTATTCACCCAGACCATGGTGTAATTAAACGTTATTGCACAGTGCACATTTCTTAATATTAAGCCTACAATGGGTTTCAATATCTATGTTAGTAAGGATAGTATGATCTCTGTATAACATCAGTCTTTCAATGCAAGATATTAAAAAGTATCCCTAACGTACACAGTGATATGAATAAGTTTGGACACCCATGCTAAAGTTGCCTAAAAAGAGGAATAAAACATCATCTTTTAGATATTGAGCTTAATGCCTTGATTAGAAAAATGAGGACAACTCCAACTATTAAGGACACAAATTTTCTTTGTGAATGAATAATGTATCATACATAAATAAATGTTTTTCCTTAAAATACAGGGTGCATAATTCAGGGCACCCCTATGTTAAATTCCCATAGAGTCAGGCAGATATTTTATTTTTAAAAGCCAGTTATTTCATGGATCCAGGATAATATGAAGAGTTCAGATGCAAAAGCCTCTAAATGCCATTTGAAATTTTCTTCTTTAATGATGATTTTTTGTCAAACTTGTATATTCAAGTTCAAGTAATTTCACTTAAATAACAATTAATAGGTAATTATCATTGCCATTTAAGTGAAATCACTGAACTTAAATATACAAGCTTGACAAATCATCATTAAAGAAGAAAATTTCAAATGGCATTTAGAGGCTTTTGCATCTGAACTCTTCATATGCATCCTGATAAAGTTCCCTTGGCCTTTGGAATTAAAATATCCCCACATCATCACACACCTTCCACCACACCTAGAGATTGGCACGGTTTTACTTCAGTTAGCCTAATAGCTTGTTTGATTTGCATTGAAAGATGATCTTATGGAAAGTACCCCATGCCAATCTCTAGGTGTTATTTATTTTTTACTATAATGCTTTTCATTTATTAATCTTTATGCCTCAATGTAACTGACTGACTTTGATCAATTGAATTTTTATGCTTACTGTGAGGTGGGGCGAAAACCAAACCGTTTCCGAAAGACAGACCACATGTAGCTCAAATGTCTCAGTTTTAGTGGCACACAAATGTTGTCTTCGCTAAACATCCTGCAAATGGGGGCTGTTTCTTTCTTGTGCATTGTATTGAGATGCCAGACATAAAGTGTACATAAAGTTTACTTGCAATAGTTCCACTTTAGCATGCATATTTTTAGTTGGAAATCAGCACTTTAAGATTTAAGACAGACTTTAAGATCATCAACTTTCTGACACATATTGGGTACGGGCCGATATGTATATGGGCCCCCACTCCAGGGTGTGAAACCATGTGTTTGTGTCTTCAGGGTCTGCTTGATGTGATATGCTATGAAAGAGGAACTTAGCCCTGTTCTGATAAGCGACTGCATACGAGGAAGATTAACTTCTGTACAGGTCAAACTTTAACTTGAACAAGGCCTTGCTCCTCAAAGACAGATCTCTCAATCACTTTACTTTTCTTTAGGCAAGAATATTATCCTCAGAGTATGACATATTTAAATTAGAAATATTAGAAGTGGTTTTAACTTTTCATGTTATGTTTCTTTATTAAACTTTGAATCCTGATTATGGATGAAGTATCATTATTTCTCATGTATTATTTAATTGTCTGCTGTTAAGAAATAAAATCAGATGTAATCATCTGACTGGATCTCCTCCTTGTATGAGTGATGCCTGACATGTTCAGTGGTAAATGAAGTGGTGCTTTTGACACTCACAGAAATGTTCCGGGTTACTCGACTGTAACCCTGTTCCCTAAAAAAGCTGAACGAGAAGCTGTGCTGCTTAGCGCATTGGGAACGTCTTTAATCGTGACCCGCTGTAAAAAAAAGGGGGATCGCAACTTGCCATACTCTGCTTTCAGCGTTTTTTTTTTTTTTTATCAGATCAGCCTGATATCCCTGCATCAATGCCGTAATAGCCAGTCTGTCCCCCACCAGCATGGATTTTACTATATACGACTTGATGGGGAGTGCTGACTCTTTAAATAATGTGATCCCTAGAGCCGACGAGTGTCTCTTTGGACTGGTGCATCATCGTAAACCACATGCCCCTGCACCCACAATAGTCTAATAGACTGACGTTGAGGGCACAAAGATGCACGAAGAATAATGTTTTCCCCATGCACAAGTTAACGTCATGGAGATCCTAAAAGAGAGCAGTTTAGCTTTAATCTGGCCACAGCACGGGTCACCACCTCGAGTAACCTCTCACACGCTTTATCATAACGAGAGAAGTGCTCGGATGCGGTTCTCCCAAAAGTCCATCGTTTTAGATGGATTTTTCAATATTTAATTCCTCAGAACTTAAATGTGACCAAAGAACAGCCAGATAATGTATTAATACAAGCATTTGATATATTGCTATATGTTCGTGTGTTATATTAACGATAAAGGGTGCCATATGCGTAGTATAGCGCCGTTTTGTCATATAGCATTCTATATGACGCTAAAGGATGAGAATGCGTTGCAGTGTTGCACATCCATGATTGCAAATGGGACGCGATTACAACTCTATAAGTACATAAATGTATCAAATAACCATACCGAGACGTACTGGTCCATTCTCATTTGTGTTTATTCTGCCGGAGTCTCTTTGTACAATTTATATATTCCGATTCAAACGTACGCTGAATGACATTCAAAACAGCCGTTTCTCTCACTCTCTCAGTGTCCAACTGCCATAGGTATCAAGTGACGCCCTCATCCAAAGGCAGGGCGGGGATATGCAGCTCATTTGTATTTAAGGTGGTATACACCGAAACAGCTCATTTTTAAACAGGCCCCAAAATGACATTATTAAAGGGTTATAATAAATTAACTGTGGGGTATTTTGAGCTGAAACTTCACAAATACATTCTGGGGACACCCGAGACCAATATTACGTCTTGTAAAAAGGGGCATAGGTGCCCTTTAAATAAACACACAGCCATTAGGCTAATGGCTCCCACTTTTTTCCCCACAGGTGTTCTGCTGTTTGATACTTTGATAGCATGGGAAGTGAGGATGCCAAAATACATCCATGGCCTTCAGGGTTCCTGTCTGGTTATACCATGTTCTTTCTCTTACACATCAAACCCACCCAAAAACCCAAGTAGAGTTGTGTGGTATCAGTGGGTCTCTCGTGGTTATCCTTTAGTTTATGATCCAAAGTATCCAGATCAAGTAATTGAAAAGTTCAGAGGAAAAACTGATTTATTTGTGAGCTCAAGTACGGATTGCAGTCTGCTGATCAAAAACCTGGAAAAGTCTCACAATGGAGAGAAATTATATGCATGGATTGACCCTGAAACTGTTAGTTACAGCACATACAAATTTTATGACGTCACCTCTACAATTGTAGTTGATGGTATGTAAATACTTTGGTCTCTTGATCTGGTTATGTGTGTGTGTTGTTGTTGACTAATTATGACATTTTCATTATCTGTAGCAAGTCCACAGCCGCCCAGCATCCATATTTATGGAGGTGAAAGGACGGGTGACGCCATTACAGTAGCATGTTCGACTTTCCACACGTGTCCATACAGGAAACCAGACATCTTTCTGAACGGTACTGAAGGATCTGATCAATTACACAATGAACATATTGAAGACGGCCTGTGGAAAGTCACTCTGACACGCACAGGTGTCGTAAAAGCAGAAAATATCACTATGAATTGTTCTGTAACACATCACGGTGGCCTAATAGTGACAACTACAAACGACAAAAGTGCCAAATGTGAGTAATCACAAATGATCACCTTCCTGTGCTTTTAGGTTCACTTTAAATGACCTATTACAAGATCACTGTTTAATTTCAGGTGTTCCTGACAAAATAACGATTGAGCCTGAACTGGCTGAGGTCACAGACGGCGTTGCAAAAAACTTCACTTGTTCGGTCTATCACTCCTGCAAGAGAGAGACTCCTACCATCACATGGAACTATGAGAACATGACAGTCTCAGATGACAGCAACAAACTTCCTGGTTTAAATCAGGTCTCCTATTCCACCATAACCTTTCTGGGTTCAAAAGACGATCATGGGATGAAATTGATTTGCACTGCAAAAATTTCTGGAAAAGCCATTACGGCTTCTGTGGTTTTACATTTGCAATGTGAGTGATATTTTAGCATTGTGTATAATGTGTGTGATCTCTCATGTCTTATGTCATGTTATTTTCTTACATTCTAAAACTTGTGCAATGTGCATCAAGTGCAAAGTAGAAGCAGGCGCTTTGTTTTTCCCTGTAGCTCCTGTTTACATTATTGCCTTGCCTTTAGTAATGATGTTTTCAGCTGTACACTAATAATAATGTTCAATCCTTTTAGCCCCTTTCATTAATGAGCCATTGCTTACTGAACTGAAGACTATTGGTCTGTACATCCTGGCACCTTCACTTGTGTTCCTCCTTGCCTGCTTAATTGCTGGAGTCATCATATTCAAGAGGCGACAAAGGTAACTCTTTGTATGTGTTACTTTAGACCAGAGGTTCCCAAAGGCCAGGTTCACACAGAAGCAGAATACAGTTTTGCATTTGAGCCCTTAATATAGTCCTTAATACAGTTATGTTCTCAAACAATTAATAATGGGTTCTAAGTGACTACTGCATTCTATAACCGAATGCACACCTGTACATTTTCAATTTTAAAAATACAGGTGTATTTTTAATTAAATATGTAATTGTGGATTAATTCCATAATAACTATTTTTTTAACTAATAGTGTTAATTAATATGTTAATTACCAGAATGAGCCAAAGCCTTGTATTTCAACTTCCAGATAATGACAGGTATACTAATATGCATTAATACATGATTAATTACTTCATTGTTAGTGCAAATTCATGTGCAAATTTCTACAATTACTGAATGACTAGTTAATAATGATCTGCCCCAACAAGTAAAGTCATAACATAATGATACCTTTGCAAATCATTAGCTAATGATTAATTAAAGCAGACAACTGGAAGTTGAAGTGTGTAGCTTTGACTAATTGTGGTAATTAACACAATCATTTACACTATTAGTTGTATATAACATAATAAAATATGTTATTAAGGAATTAATACACAATGACACATTGAGTTGATAGCAATTCATGTATTAACTTAATCTATTAATCATATAAACTGTTTATTAGTTGCTGATGCAGTAATCATTAATTGATGGTTTAGTTTCTCATTAGTTATACATTAACTCATGATTATCTGTGCATTATTTAAGCATGAATTAATGCACATTAGTGCACCTGTATTGTACCGTAAGTGTTACCATAATTCATATTAATAAGCTGCTGTGTTGTTTAGCACTTTTAGTCAACATGCAGCAAATATGGTAATGAAAATCATTTAACTGGAGGTAAAATCAAATAGGAAATAAAATAAAGAATAGAAATAAAAAAGTTAATAAATAAAAGTTTTACATAACATCTGTCCCCAGGTCAAAAGATGCATGTACAGTGTCAGGAAACAAGCCTTTCTCCAAACCTCGTATGCCATCACCAAAAAGGTACAGTATACTTGAACCCATTGAAGTAGCTGAAACTAAATCTACCTTAAATACATTGTAATAAGTAGAGGTTTAGTTTTTGTTAGTTCAATATAACATTATATTTATATTTTTATATAAATTATGAAAACCACAAATCTTTTCCCCCTATGCACCTCAGTGACCCAAAATCCTGCAATGTGAGTATATTATTTTCACAGTGGTACAATACTCTGATCAAATGACAGATGCTTACATAAATATGTTATTAATTAATGTATGACTCTGTTTTCTCTTCAAATATTCCATTAAGAAATATGATTGTGAAGCTGAGTATACCAATATGGAGGATCTCAACATGTATGGAAATATCTGACGAAAATGCTGTATATCAAAGACCTAAAATGGGCTTAATACTTTTTATATATATATATAAAAAAAAGAATGACAGTGTCAGACATACATATATTTGTCATGCATTTTAAAGGGTTAGTTCACCCAAAAATGAAAATTCTGTCAGTATTTACTCACCCTCATGTTGTTCCAAACCTCTATGTGTTTATTTCAATCAAACAGATCTCATTCCCCATTGACTACCATAGTAGGAAAAAAAAAATCCATACTATGGTAGTCAATGGGGAATGAGATCTGTTTGATTAAAACATTCTTCCAAATATCTTCCTTTGTGTTCAGCAGAACAAATAAACACATAGAGGTTTGGAACAACATGAGGGTGAGTAAATACTGACAGAATTTTCATTTTTGGGTGAACTAACCCTTTAAGTAGCATCGAGATTAGTTTGTCTTCATTATTTCCAGTGTTTCCTTTGTTACTAAGCATGTTTTCTATGGTTGTCATGGTGAGTAATTGGGTCAATGATTATCTCACACCCCAAGTTTCATATTCACTTCATTATTTTGTTGCCTTCAGTTATTTTAGAGATGCTTGTGTCACACCATGGTTCACCACTATAGGTCCTCTTCCCCCACACTTTCAGTCACATTAAAAACTGCATTTCCCACAATCCTTGTCACTCATTATGATTGTTAGTCTGTGTATATACTGTAAGTACCCTGCTTGTTTAGTGTTTGTTATGGAATCCTTGTCTTTTATCACACCAAATCTGAGGTATGTTTTTGTCTATTCTTTGTTACTTGTGTTTGGATTGCTTATATGGGTATTGACCCCTGCTTGGACTGTTTTGTGAGTACAGATTTCCCCATTAAAACTTACTGCATTATTGGATCTTTTGTCTTTCGTGAGTGTGGATCGTGACAGCATGTGCATTAGCACACTGTTTCCTTTATTTATCATTATTGGATATCACACTTGTATTTTATTTAATTTAATGATTAAGCTGTATTAGATCCTTTTGCCTTGCCCTATCTTCACCTGCCTGTACATGGTACTCTGATGTATCATTGTGAATTGTATATCTATAAATTATGCTAATAAAAAAAAAAGTTTTCTACTGGTTTTGCAGCTGATTAATATGTTTAATTAAATCATCATTATTGTTATTTCGTCTACTTAAGAAGCTTCTGGGAAGCTCAGGTCATAGTGTGGTTGGGCCCTTCAAGCTCCACTCACTCCATCTAGAGAGGGGCAGCTGGACATCAAGCTCCACCAATTTTATCCAGAGAGGGGGTGCTGGATGTCAAGCTCCACCCATTTTATCCAGAGAGGGGGTGCTGGATATCAAGCTCCACCCATTTTATCCAGCGAGGGGGTGCTGGATATCAAGCTCCACCCATTTTATCCAGAGAGTGGAGGCTGGATGTCAAGCTCCACCAATTTTATCCAGAGAGGGGGCACTGGATGTCAAGCTCCACCCATTTTATCCAGAGAGGGGCAGCTGGATGTCAAGCTCCACCCATCACTGTGCTTGAAGGGGGAACTCTTGATATTGTATATTTATTAAACCTGTTGTCCAGGGGCATTTGCAGCAGGGTTTGAAATTATTATTATTATTATTAGAAGTACTGTCTATTTATAATATAATAATTACATTTATATAGCGCTCTTCTCTGCACTCAAAGCGATTTACAGAGAAAGGGGAATTTCCTCAACCACCATTTATTTCTTTAGATATCACAAACAAAAAGTACATTTCACTAATGATTATAATAATAAGTGTTCAGCAGTGTGATGCATTTAACAAGAAAAGTAATGCATTTATTACTTTTTTTATTAAATGCATCACACTGCTGAACAATTATTTCCTCCTCATAATAAACTTGAGCCTGGGGGACTTTTTTTTCTTTTATTCAAACAAGTAATTAAGGATACACAGTTTTATTCAACCAGTTAAATGTCCACAGCATAGCTAGAGTTCATCAATATGGTAACTATATAACTAACTTACTAACTATATTTTTTCTTTTCACAGTATTTGGTGTAACAATAGCCACACATTTTTTTTATGAAACTGAACTCCTAAATCAGTGTTCCATGCAAGCACAACTTAATTGATCACACGAGTATATGGCACATTGATACAAAGGAATATTTTTAAGCATGATTCAGAATATTTCAATATTATATTAATGCAAGTCACACTGAAAAAAATTAAGAGGAGTGGAAGGCATTCTTACCACTCTAAGAGAATCAATAGTCTTAATTATAACTTTCAAATAACACAACAAATAACTAAGTTTTAATACTTAATTTGGAAACTCCCACTGTTTCAGGTTTTTATGGCTGAATATTCAGTTATGTTCTCATCTTCAGATCTTGAGCTGCTAAGACAGCTCCTCTGGTAATGTTTTGGTTCGTTAACATCAGTTTTGGCAGAACAAGTCACAGTGGTGTAATTCACTTCATCTTCTTCACTGGAATCAGATTCCCAGTCTATATTGGTGAATGGAAGTCTTGAGGCACATGCAGAAGAAAAATTCTCATAATCGTGATTTTCTGATTGGGAATTCTAGGAAGAGGAAGAAATAGTAAAACAAAATGCTCTGAATATACACTATACCATTGCATAAAACTTTGCTCCACACGCTTTTTGGTGTTCTGAAAATGTTAAGTAATATTTTGTTAATATTCTGACGACTTACCTTTGGCTGATTATTTTTTGACATCATGGCATAGACTGCTGAATCTTCGGGTGCTCTAGAAACACAATCATATATTAAACACCAGCAGCATTGCACTCGGTCACATTTTTTAATTTTATAATCTAAAAAATGTTAAGCTCATCACATTATCAATATAAAGATAAGTTACATTTACCTTTTTGGCTCATTTTGTTTCTTGAAATCAAGAGTGATGTAGTTTAAGTCATTATCCTTATTTCCAGGTTTTTGTGATTTCGGGTTACATTTTCCCTGTAAGAACAAAAAGACATCTTTCTAAGCATGAAAATGTCAGTTGTTTGTTATCTTGAGGTTTCAATTACATCTTGTTGCGTTTAAAAGAAGAAGAAAAGAAAAAAAACACTATCTCACTTGTTTAATTGGTGGCAGTTTAATGGCAGAATACACCGTGTGGGTATTAGATTCTGACCTTAAGAGGAGAAAAATGATTAATTCGTTTTATGAGAAAAAGTGGACACATTAAAGGGATAGTTCACTTTGAAATTATTTTTTTATATATGTTTTAGCTTACCTCAAGGGCATTCAAGATGTAGGTGTCTTTGTTTCCGCAGTATTTTCAATTTTGAGATTTTTAGGTCAAACGTTCATGTCTCTCAGTAATATAATACAGGTCTATGGTCACCACCTCAAAGAGCATGCACAGAGAAGTCCAAATTAAACATGATTTAATGACTCGTAAATGTAAGTACACATTGATGACCTAAGACATGAAACGAACGCTTTTTGTGCGAAATCTAACAGTATTATTTATATCGTTTTACCTCTTGTAACCAGCCACATCCAAGTGATCTGAAAGGCACAGGCACTTCAGTCGCTTCAGTCAAGCACCGAAAAGCACCGGAAATGATCTCTTGCGCGGATGCTTAAAAAAAAATCAACATTGTCTGTTGATATATCGAAATCGTCTTCCATTGCAATTTCCTGTATAGCTAAATATATTTAGATTTTCACAGTGAAGGGTAACACTTCTGAAATCTCTGTGTAAAAAATGAGTGATGTACACGCGTGAGAGATCACTTCCGGCGCTTTCCGGTGCTTGCCTTCAGATCACTTGGGAGTGGCTATGATTCCAAGAGAAAAAACTATATAAATACTGTTCGTTTTCTCACACAAACCGCTCATTTCGTGTCTTAGGCCATCAATGTGTACTTACATTTACGAGTCATTAAATCATGTTTAATTTGGACTTTTCTGTGCATGCTCTTTGAGGTGGACCCCATAGACCTGCATTATATGACTGACAGAAGAACGGTTTGACCTAAAAATTAAAAAAATTAAATAACTGTGGATACAAAGACACCTACATCGTGGATGCCCTTGAGAGGCCTAAAACATATCAAAAATTAATTTCAAAGTGAACTATCCCTTTAAAGGGATAGACAGTGCAGCCAAAAATGAAAATTGGCTGTTAATTTACACACCGTCAGCCCATCCAACATGTAGGTGTCTTTTTTTCTTCAGTAGAAATGTAAAGAAGATTTTTAGCTGAAACCGTGTTCCTTGGTGATTCGTATATTGCAAGTCAGACAAAAAGACACCAACATCTTGGATGGTCTGAGGATGAGTAAAGTAACAGGAGTTTTTTTTTTTTTTTTTTTTTTTAGGGGATAACTATCCCTTTCATGTCTCCATCAGTTCTGCAACTGTTACCTTGGATTGAGGTCCTGCGCTCGTGTAGGATCTTGGGAATTGTGTGTTGGTTGTGATTGTTGAACCCTTCCATGACATGGATCAGGAATCTCATCTATTGACAGATTCTCCCGGGTGTTATTTTGTGATCCCTGAGATTTAAAATATTGCAACAGACTTTATCTCTTATTAAACAAACAGATATTATTTTGCATTTTTAAATCAATGCTCAATAAAGTGAGTTCAAGTAACCCAGTTACTGAAACAAACTGAAGTTAAATAACCAATAAAAGTAAGTTTGCCACTGTAGAAGAGCCTGACAGGAATCCTAGGAAAAAACACAATGGATTATCTGCTCCTCTTTGCGGATCTGATCTTGCCTTGATGATAGTCCTGCAAAATGATGAGCACAATTATTTTAAGACTTTTTTCTTGATTTAAGTAATTAAAAAAGAAGAAAGAAAGAAATAGGTATGTACCTGCGCATCAGAAAGATCCCCACAGCAATGAGAATCAACAGGATGATAGGTAAGATTATCTGGCAGAGCACTTTAGAGTAACCTAAAATTAGAAAGGTTTATGGGGATATCATGATCACATCATTTTCCTACGCTATCTCACGACCAATTCGTACGAATTCGTACGAGTGATTCAAAAGTGGCTAATTCATACTAATTCATACGGCCTCACTCGTACAAATTTGTACGATTTGTCTAAACCCACGTGACGGTTATGTTTAGGGGCGGGGTCAGGGGTAGGTCATTCGTACGAATTCATACGAATTGGCTAATTCGTAAAATATGTACGATTTAGCAAAATCGTACGAGTGAGGTCGTACGAATTGTTACGAATTAGCCACCTCGTAAAATTCATACAAATTCCCGTGAGATCGGGTTGAATTTTCAATACTCAACCGTGACCATGACTTATTCTAACCTCAAATGCATAACCTAACTCTGTTAAACTTTTAAAGTAGTCCAATATAGTGCAGCATTTCCAGTGATTATGAAGATTATGTCTTAAGTGAACATAAACAGTTGGGAAAGATCCACAAAATCGGTCTAAAAGTGACAGCAGCCTAATATTCCTGTTGCCATCTGTGTCATTAATGTTAATACAACAAGAAAAGACAAAGAGAAAATAACGCAGTGATCTTCATTATGATTAATCTATATTTAATGGATACAGTGAAAACTGTGTTTTACATTTAATAACTTTCTGTTGATAAAGACTGTTCTGTGTTTAACTTTTGTTATTTATTTTACAAGACAGCTATATTATATGAGCTCTAAGTTGTTTCTTATCACCTGTAATAGAGGGAATGGAAAATGGAGTTGTCAATACTTTGAAATTTTTTTTCTACAGTATATATACTTAAAATGCATTGTTGTTAAGAATAGTATTATTTCAGTGATCGACATCGGTACCATTTTTTATATCACGCAATTCTGTGGGAAAAAAAAAGTCTGAATTGTAAGATAAAAAGTTGCAATTATGTTAGTTATGTATGTTAGTTATTTTATTTTTTTATTTTCCCTTCTTTGGTTTATTTGATGTTGACATAAAACTCCAATAAAAATTCAAAGTGGCAAAAAAAAAAGTTGCAATTACTTTTTTTTTCATAGCGGAAACAAGCTTCCATATGAAAATCAACAAAGGAATATAAAGAAAGGTAACGTAACCTTGGTTATCTCCAGATGAGGGACTGAGTATTGCGTAAGTTACCTTACCATACGGGAAAATACCTTTTCTCGGGAATACTGAAGCCAAAAAATTATCCTTAATTCTGCATCAATTTAAAATGCATTGCTTCACAAAGCAGACCTATAGGCAGGGCAGCTTGCTTGCCTATTGGTTGCTCAGCAACCTATCGAGGGAATGTACGTGACGTAAGCACCGGACGTCATGTCTGTCCAGAATGGGCATGGCTTAAATCTATATAAGCGGAGTCCAGATAGGGTGTTCTTTTGGTTTTCATACTGAAGCGAAAACAGAACACAGCACAATTTATTAAAAATAATTATTTGGCTACATTATTTTTGAGAAAAGGGATTTCCCCGTAGCGTAAACTAGCTTACGCATAAGAGAACTAAAATATATATATATATTTTTTAAAAAAAAGCAGAAGCAAGACGAGAGGGTTTCCACCGCAATATGGAAATCAGCGCTTGACAGATTCGGAGATTAATTTTTTTTTAGGACAGTAAATAACTTTCTAGCTCACCATAGTTACACTAAAGCGGCAGTTGTAGAAAAGTGTCTGGCGGAAGAATTTCTAGAGAATCTTTCATTTGATTTCGCTACTCTAGTCATGAACAATTTTATTATTTGATTCATTTTATAAATGTATAAATTCATACTCACTGCTGACAAATAACTTGATGTGTTTGGATCGTGATTTTCCGATTCTATTGGCTGCTGTACAGTAATACATTCCTGGGTTCTGAGGTAGAACAGTGAAGTTCTGCTGGTGCGACAAGACAGTGGTGTTGTCCTCCTCTCTGTACCATTTGTATTCAGTGGCGGGAGGATACGCATCTGCACTGCAGGTCAGATAGACTGCAAGCTGCCAATTCCACTCAGCTGTCCTGTTATCGACAATATTTATGTTTGGAGTATCTGTAGAAAAAAAAGAGGGGGAGGGTGGCTGGGAGTCATTGGGGTCAGAACTGCGTGAAAATAATTACTGTGAGATATAAGCTCGCAATTATGAGAAAAAAAGTCAGAATTGTGAGATTCTAGAAAATTGTGAGCAATAAGAAGGTTTTTCTTCAGATTTGGACTTTACATCTTGGAATTGTGCCATTTTTTTTCACACAGTTCTGACTTTTTCTTACAATTGCAAGTTTATATCTCACAATTCTAACTTTTTTGCACAGTTCTGACTTTTTCTCACAATTCTGACTTGCAATTGTGAGTTTATTTCTCGCAGTTCTGAGAAAAAAAAACGTCAGAATTTAAGATAAATAGGCGCAAACTATCTTTTAAATTTTATTTCTGTGGTGGAAACAAGCTTCCATAATGATAAGACTGCTTAAAACTACACTGTGTGATTTTTACCCCCATCTAGGGGTGAAAAGGTATTTGACCATCCAGTGAATATTAAGCTGTGTCTGAAATCGCTCCCTATCCACTATATAGTGAACTATATCGGGTGTCGGCCATTTTGTAGTGGTGTCCGAATTCTGAGTGAACGACATCATTCCCTACATTCATTCACTACTTTTACCCACAATCCTCTCTGAATTCGAGTGTACATTCGATGTACACTTGCTGAAGCCCTATTTCCCACAATCCAATGCGGAGAGAACTGAGCGCGCATGAAAGTACGGCGCGAGCAAGTTTAAACCAGAGATTACATTACATCCAGTGGAGGATTTGAAAAATATCCGTTAATCGTCGTTTTGAACATAATAACGGTCGCCGGAGGGCGCTCGACGACACGTCATCTGTGAACGTGAGAGTTAATGTACAATTTCAGTCGATGAAACTACAAAGCTGGCACAGAGGTATAATTACAAAATAAAGTCATTATGATTGTTATTGTTGTTAATATTATTTTATAAAGTAGGTAATGTAAGATAAAAGGAGTTTTATCAGTACGCGTGACGAAGCCTTTTCTGCGACAGCTCCAACTCTCCGACGCACAGTGTAAACGTCAGCGTCCGAATTCACTCACTTCATCTCGTTCACTCCTTGCAGATATAGTGCGCTCAAATGCCATACACTATATAGGGATTAGTGAATGAGTGAACGAGTGAGCGGTTTCAGACACAGCTTTAGTCTCTGTTCCTCTCAATTCCAATTTCGTTTTAACTCCTACGGTGGCCAATGTAGTCCAAGATTAACATGGCTTCCAGTTCGACCTCGTCCATGAGAGTTAACTCAAACATAAACACGAAAGGCGAAGCTTGAATTAACAGGTATGTGTATTTTCAAGATGGAGGGGCAACATGGTGACCGACATTAGAACCCCTTACCCGTATGTATTTTCAATGACATATTATACGCTCACGAGAATACTTTATTACTTGAACGAAGTAAATATACATTAATGAGCACATATATTTTTAAAAGAACTAAGTGTTTTAGCGAAGAATAAACTAAAAGAGTTACACAGTGTAGCTTTAAACTAATTGAAAAAAACGTTGAACAATATTTTACTTTTTTAGAAAAGCCAAAAAAGCCTTTTAGCTTTTAAAAGCTTATGCGTGTCAAATAACAAGTAAAAAGTACTCACACTTCACCCTGATGTGTACTGATTGGGATTTTCCTTTTCCAATGGAATTGTTCGCAATGCAAACAAACTCACCAGAGTCAGAGATATTCAGAGAATGAAAGTGTAGTTTCTGTTCATGTCCAACTGTCTTTAATTGTCCATTGAACCATTTCATCCACTCAAATGAGGACGGAGCAGGTTTGGAACGAGCCCCACATGTAAGAGTCAGCTCACTCCCAAATGTCTGTTCTCCTTTAGAACTTGCAGTCACATTTTTAGGTGCATCTAACATGTGATACATAAAAAGAAAGTCTTTTTAATCGGTTTGGTGACTTCAAAGTTAAAGCATCTAATGTTCCTCAAGTGCTTGTAATATCTTAAATACTTGTAGATATTTTAATTGATTATACTTACACAACACAGTTAGCTCTTCTTGATTAGTTTCTACTTGTCCCTCGGAATTCTCTGCTTTGCACTTGTACTTCCCTGCATGTGACTCGGTTACGTTCAAGTATATAGTTAAATTGTTCACAGATTCAGTGATGTTCACTTGATTGTTTTGGAAATCCTTTGGTCCTGTCACTGTGAGCTTTGACAAAGGAAAGCTTTGAACAGTGCAGATAACTGGAAATACTTCAAACTCTTTCAATACCCTCTTCATAATCAATCTGAGATTAGATGGAGGATCTGCAAAATTTATGGAGATGTGAGAAGAAGAGACAAAAACATTTGGATGTGTGAGATTATTTACTTTGACTATAGATTTTAGAACAAAACAGACTTACAAAGCACATCAACATTAAAGGTGTTTGAACTTGATGATCCAATGGCGTTGTTAACAATACATGTGTATTGCCCTGCATGCTTAATGGTCACATTGTCCACGATTAACTCTCCAGTTTGAACTGGAAATGTGTAAGAAGATAGTCCAGGTGGGTGTTTCCAAGTGTACTGTACTGACTTAGGGTTGGCATCACCCGAGCATGTCAAAGTCAGTCTGGAGTTCACTTTTACAGAATTTCCGCCTTGTATTTCGACGTTTCGTGGTGAATCTGTTTAAAGACATGCTTTAGAAAACGTAACATTCCACACTGTAAAATGCATGCATGATTTGGTAGAAATATACAATTAAAATTAATTTACGTTAAGAGACTCAGCATCTAACATACTTTTGGCAATTAAAAAAAATACGTGAAAATGTACAAATGTTGAAATACAAATGATTAATCAGCTTAACATGGGTTTCAAGTTTTATTTTCTATTTAACATATTATTCAAGCATCTTTGTAGTAAAATTAAAATGACAATACTTACACTTTACAGAGACTGAGATGATATTTGACGTCTCTTTTTTAATACCATTATCAGCCTCGCATTGGTAAGATCCTCCATCACTTGCTTTAACATTGCTGATGGTTAATGTATCACTAGTTTGTTGTTGCATATTGTTGTTATTGTACCATTTAAATGTGACTGGTGGGTTACTTTCATTTACTGAACACTTAAGAATCAGATTGCCTCCCTCTTTGAGATCTTCAACACTGACCAGAGGTTTCACTGTGACACCCTTTGGACCATCTGAAGGCACGGGAAATGCATTTTGATTGCAAGATTACAAGCGATTTGAGAAGATTATTAATTGGTGTTGGCATCAAAACATAAAACTCACATTTCACATCAATTATAATCATATTTGATTTCATTGTTCCATGCTTGTTTTTAGTTTCACAATAATATTCTCCACTGTCTTCTGGTTTCACATTATTTAGTTTCAAGTCAGACTTTTGTTGAGACTTTTCTATTTGCTCGTTTATTAACCATGAGAAGGTGACATCAGGATGACCTCTGCTGTCGCAGGATAGAGTGACAGAATCTCCCTCCTTCACATACTCGGAGCTCACTTTTGCAGTTGTCTCTTTAGGTGAATCTGGAGAAGAAAAAGAGATGAAGATGGCTTGTGGGCAATGATCAGTCAGTTAATCTGTACATCAAATTTACAGTGTTTGTTTACAGACAGATGATGTGCACACTCACATTCCACAGACAGAGTGATGTTTCTGATCTGGGAGCGGTCCTTAGCTTGGCCTGGACGACATGACAGAATTCTTTTGTCATCCTTCCATGTCACATTGAGTTTTAGTGTGGTGACTTTTCTGCCCTCTTCTTCATCATTCTTGATTATTACATCAGTTAATGAGGAGGACAGCCATTCTTCCTTTTGAACTGATGGGTTGACGAGCCACTCAGGATATTTCAAGCAGGAACCAAATGTGGAGCAACGAACAGTAAATTCCTCTGACTCCATGAGTGGATTCTTTAGCTCTGATGGGTCAACATTCACCTTACATGGGTTGTCTGAAACAAGTAGAATATGGCGTGAAAACAAGTGATCTAGAACCTTTACATTTTCTCCAAAGAAATCTATATTATTAAAGGGTTAGTTCACCAAAATAATAATAATGATTACCATCATGATTTTCAAAATCTGTTTTTTTCTGTCAGTAGAACAAATGAAGAGCTCCAAAGATGAAAAAAAAAAAAAATCAAAGAGACGCAGGCACAATATTCTTCTTAAGTCATACAATTGGTTTGTATAATGAAATGTAAGTCATTAATCACTTTTAATATCGATAAAAAATTGATGAACCAGTGTTAGACATCAGTTAACCTGAAACATTCTCAGAACTTTGGTTAACATTTTGGCAAGGTTCTTTTAAAGTTCAGAACAAACGTTCATCCATTGTCATTAACAGAACGTTCATTCAGTTATCTGGTCTTTGATAATATTCTCAAAATGTTAGTACAAAAACATTATTTATATATTGTTCAATGAACTTTTTTTTTCTTCGAGAAACGGTTTAATTAAATGTCTTTAAAAAAAATTTTAGAGAAGAGACAACATTAAGTTCCATTTCCATATTGTTTGTAAAATGATAATGAATGAATGAAATGAATGTTCCTTTTGCATAGTCAATATATGTATATATATATATATATATATATATGTATATATATCAGTGATGCGCGGGTTGATCCGAAATGAGCGGGTGCCTGCGGTCACCCGCGGTTCCCGCAGTTACGGGTCATCCAAAAATGTTTTTAATGATATTCGGGTCACGGTCGGTCGGGTCGTTTGAAAAAAGATGCCAATTAAACATTTGTATTAGTACTAGACACAATTGTTGATGAAATATACAGCCCTACACATTATTGGCTGAATAACTGGCACGAAGATAACACACAAGCTCAGTCTAAACAGTTCTCGGTTCTATACTAGTGATTCGAGAACTGCTGTCCCTGCGCGTTCGGTAGTACGCAGTATCTATGCGCAGTATCAGCTGCTCGTGCTCATCACTTCTCTCAACAGTGGCACCAACATGTCTCGGTTCAGTGAACTGTTGGAGTTACTGGAGTAAAATAGAATTCAGGATATTGATTTATTTCGATTCGGAGGCGACTGTCAGGCATGTCTGAAAGTAAGTAACTAACTTGTGGATCAGCACTGACGCAAGACGCGAACTGTTTCGAACGATTCAGTTCGATTTAGTGTAGGTTCGACTGGTTCACTAAAAAGAACCGGTTCAAAAGAACGATTCGTTCACGAACCGGCCATGTCTATGATCACTACAGTCTGCAGAGAGATGGAGGCGGCAAGAGAAAAGTTGAAGACTGGGGAGTGGAAGCTCCGCAAATACACAAATAGAAAGAGTAAAAGTGTGGGAGACATTTGCTGAAATAATGAAATATGAAAGTGCTGGCTTTGCCTTTGTTATGTGTAGGCCAGGCCTACGTCTTCTTGCGATGCTGTGTTGTTACACGTCTATGGCCCAATAACGCTCCGATGAGCATTTACTACTTTTAAAAAATGCGGTCAGGAAGCGGGTCGGGTACAATATTTTTTTACTTTTTTTTGCGGTCCGAGTTGCGGGCGGGTAGTTGAAAACGTCGGTCGGTTGCGGTTTGTTTATACATTGACCCGCGCATCACTGATATATATATATATATATATATATATATATTAAACATTGAAAAATCTAGACATAGCTTAATGGTAAAAACGTATTATTATTATTTTTTAACAAAATTAAACTCAAAACTTAATGGTATCGTTAGCAAAACATTTTTAAAACATATTTTTGCTAACTGGGATCTACATGTTCATTTTTGTATCTTTCACGGTGTGGGTTTGTCTTGTTTTTAGTGGTTCCCTGTCTGTCTATTAGTCACCCCAGGTGTTACCCATTAACCATGGCCCCTTGTTATCCTGTGTAGCTTGTTTACCACTGTATTTAAGCCCTGTGTTTGAGCCCTGTCTTTGTGAGTTCTTGATGTTGTAGCATTGATGTTGGTTGTTTGGTCCCTGAGTCCTGTTTTCTGCTCTGAGTTTGGAAAGTTTGAAATTTAATTAAATTAACGTGCTGCATTTGGATCCTGCTTCCTCCTTGCTTTAACCACTTCATGACAAAAGAACTCCCCACACTGAGATCCAGCAGCAACCATGCCAACCCTGTGCCCAGACATCCAAATCATAAGTCTCTGTCACAATGATCCATCCATTGAGGACTACGTTGCAGATTTTGTCAAACTGGCACATCTTGTGCAAATGATCACCGAATGCCCAGACTGATCTCATGAAATGGCGTCTTTATGACACGCCAATTCGTATTTCCATTTTTGGCGTGCTATCAACTCGCATAATCGCTTTTCAGCGTGTTTATGAACGCCATTGACTTAACGTTACATTACTGTATTTATAAATATATGACCTACCCCAACCCCGTCCCTAAACCTAGCTGTCACTGGAGTTAATACCATTTATGAGTCTTCCCCTACCATCCTAGGAAAAAAAAAATATCACTCTCCAGATGTAGATCTACATTTTGCTTCGTTTCGCTCTAACATTTAATGGCGTGTACATACACGCGGATTCACTCAGACATGGCATAGTCATACAGGCATACACGCGGATAGCTCAAAATGCTTATAGATAACACACCTCTTGACTTGAAAGTGGCGTGTATGTTTACTCAAAAGTCATGATGCCATGTTGGAATGCCTGATGATCTTTCTGTGGAGGACTATCAGAACCACTATGATGCCTGACCATGATCCACACGGTTCGTTGGAACAATATATCAACCTTCCGCTTTTGCTGAGCGGTTCTCTGTTTACTGTGGGTGTGGAGGAAAAGGAGCTCTGTGAACCCACAGTACCCCCTTCAGCCTGTTCTTCTCGTCACTTCAGCCATCAAGCTAGCCATGGCATCAGTCTATAGGCATCCAGGACTAATGTCCAATGTGGCACAGCCACCACTGATGTCAGTGTCGAGGGCCATGAAAACCGTTCCAGCGTCGCGTCTCCCAGAGCCCTTGCCGCTGGTCGCGTCCACCGTCCCATCCAGCCCAGAGCCTTCGCGCCTGGTCCCCTCTAGCCCGGAGCCTTCCCGGCTGGTCCCGTCCAGCCTAGAGCCTTCCCCGCTGGTCCCATTCAGCCCAGCGCCCTCTTCCTCTTGAAGACGGAAGAGGAAGAGAATTTCCTGCAATCCTCAGTGCCCGAATGTCATTCCTGAGCCTCCTGTCAGCCCAGAGACTCGTCTCCATAATCCTGGCCCTGCCTGCGCCGCTCAAGCTCCTGGCCTTTCTTGTGTCTGCCTAGCCAGAAACTGTCCATGTCCCGTCTTCCCAGCCAGAGACTGTTCATTTCACGTCTGCCAGGCCAGAGACTGTTCTCGTCATGTTCACTGAGCTGGTGTCTGCCCCTCCTGAGCCGGTGCCTGCTCCAGCCTCCAGCCTCCGGGTCTTCAACGCTGTAGCCACCTGAACGCCCTGGTTTCCTGCGCAGCCTGCTCCACCCTGGTCGTCTGCTCTGTCCACGTTCCATGTCCCAGGCCCGCCTATTATGTCTATTAGTCTTCACGTGTTCTTCATTGACCATGCCCCCTTGTTATTCTGTTTAGATTGTTTGCCCCTGTATTGAAGCCTTTGTGAGTTCTTGTGTTTTTATTTTGAAGCTCTAGCGTTGTCGTTAGTTGTTGTGTGCCTGAGTCTTGTTCCTAGCCCTAGATCTAGTTGCCTAGTTTCCAGTTTATTTATTAAAGTGGGTGTACTGCATTTGAATCCTGATTCCACCTTCATTACAGTATCACTTACTGTCTGTACTTTTTTGGAGCCCTTAGTCACATTCACTTTCATTGTCTAAAAAAAGCAGTATGAACTTGCTGATAAACATCTGTTTTATGTTTTACGGAATACAGATAGACATGAGGATAAGTACTGTAAATGATGACTTTTTTTATGCAAGAAAACAACCTTTAAGGAAACAACAAATTAGTCTACTTCAGTAAATCATTGCTCACCTGTAACTTCGAGATTCATAGCTTGACTCATGTACTTTTTTGAACCAATGAATCTAAAGCTGTAGCTCCCACTGTCTGTTTTTTGTAGATCGTTGATTCTTAAATTACATTTTGTCCAGGTGTTTTCGCTCTGTGCTGATATTACATTAGCATCGTATTCCACCCTGTTGACGTAATCCAGTGACTGTGGACGTTCTTCTCTGTTACTGTATACAATAGTCCCATTAAACGTTTGTAAATCCTTATCAAAATGTGCATCTTTAAACCACAGTAGTGCCAAATTGTCCTCTTTATTAAAGTATTCACAGGGGATTGTCACACTTGACCCTTCCTCATATGTTTCTGTTCTTTCAGGCACTATTATTTCAACTTGAGCTGATCCCTCAAAGGAGTTTGTAAGAATAGCTGGAGAAAAAACAGCATCAGTAACACTTATGTATGCTGAAAAAATTGGACAATCGTTTTACAAAAATCAACATATTCAGTATATAATCCAGACAATACACACCAAACAGAAGCAGAAGAATCCCTTCAGGAACCATCATTCCTTCAGCTGCTAATGAAATAAATAAATGCATATTATAATGTTGAGCATCATTGACTACGTTTACATGCAGCCAATAACCCGTTCAAAACCGGGATATTAGCATTAACCCGGTCACACATGGCCATGTAAACACCGGCAAAAAACAGAATATGCTCATATCCCGGATTTTAAAAACCCGGTTATGATCCCTGGGGTACCCCTTTTCTAAGCCGAATATTTGGTCATGTAAACGCGTATCGACATATCCCCATCAAAAGGAACATTGATTTGTGTTCTGCGCATGTTCTATTCACAAGTAATCTTGGTCTTTTGAGTGGAGGAACTTAAAAACCTGCGTGCACTACACCGGAAGCAAACAAGAAGTAGAGGTAAACCAACTATGTATCACATGAAATACGTTCTGAGGAAACTACTTTGCAAATCGCAATTACGTTACATGCCAACATATACGCAGTGCGATTACGTTGGTCCTTAACTATTGGAGTGCTATTACGTTTGTCCTGAACATAATACATCCAAAGGAGGTTTCTTTACTATTTATGCATAATCGTGGCATTAAAGTTTTGACTCTATTGCATTCAACTGTCATATCAATTAAGTTTTCATTCGCATTTATTAATATATTAATAGGCCAACGTTACTCATAAATATATTTACACAAACAGCATTTTCTCCAATAAAACACAACATACTGATACATTCACAAAAGACATACATTTTATTAGCTTGATGTAAACCAAATCCTAGAATCCATACGTTTTTTGCAAGAAACAGATCCAAATTCAGCCTTTTATCCAGTTATCTTCATCTTCATTTCTCAGCAGCGATCGCAAACGTCAAATCCGCGCTGGTGATGAATTCAAATTCAAAAAACGCGCCTTCAAGACGCGTTATGACATGTTTTACGGCAGTGATCTCAAACGCTCATTGGCTCTCGCCTGCTTCGTCACAGATTGCGACACACCGTGTTTCAGTCGGTGTAGTTAGTACATTTGAAATGAAGAAGAGCGCGCGCCTTCAGACAGAGAGCGAACCGAAATCAGATTAACATTTTCATGGATTAACGTTAATAACTTTAATTCTGATCTGTACCTCATACACAACTACTATAATACTGCCAGAGGACTGCGGCTGCAACGCATCATCATGTGAACGACTTTTGCTAATCTTAATAATAAATAAATAAATTATTGTGAAATGTATCTGTCTGTTATGGTTTTTTTTCTTAATTGTGTTAGCCTACGTAGTTTTAAGGAATGGTTATGGTTAGGTTTAGGGGTAAGAGTAGGATTAGTGGCTCAAAATGTATTTTAATGCTAAAACTCATTTAACTACACATCTCTGTCCATTACGTTTTATCCTTTTTATATTCTGTATAAAACAAATATGTTTTTTTTGGAGTAGGATTAAGGGGTCTTGTTACATTTATCTTTAAAAGTGAAAGTATACAGATATCGGTATGATATGAAATATACGTAAATATTAACGTTTTGTAGCTGTAAAAACGTAATAAGGTTACGTTTAAATGTTGCAAATACGTCCATATTATACATTTTAGCATCTATCCAAACGTACAAAAACGTACGTTACATATCTTTGAAAATAACGTATTAAACCTACGTATTAACAATGAGACATATTAGGTTAAGGACCAACGTAATAGCACTGCTTATACGCTGGCATGTAACGTAATTGAGATTTGCAAAATAGTTTCCTCAGAACGTATTTCGTGTGATACAGGGTTGAGGTATGGCATGACGCGGCACAGTACCATACTTTTTCGACCAGTACCAAAGTACTAGCACAAAATTTTGAACAAAGGTAATCGCTATCTGCCCCAAACTATTAATTATACACATGCTGCTGCTGTTGTTGTCTTTGGATACAAGAAGAAGAATCGGAAATGACACATATTGTGTCTTAAGGTTGTCCGTACGTCCAGACGCTAACTGTGCGTCGCCATTTACATCGGGATATTGCAACACTATCTCACGACCAATTCGTACGAATTCGACGCATGATTAAAAAGTGGCTAATTCGTACGACCTCACTCGTACTAATTCGTACGATTTGTCTAAACCCACGTGATGGTTAGGTTTAGGGGCGGGGTAAGGGGTAGGTCATTCGTACGAATTCATACGAATTGGCCAATTCGTAAAATATGTACGATTTAGCAAAATCGTATTAATTCGTACGAGTGAGGTCGTATGAATTGTTACGAATTAGCCACTTTTTAATCATTCGTCGAATTCGTACGACTTGGTCGTGAGATCGGGTTGGATATTGCCAATTGATTTCAAATGCCATGTATACAGGAGTAACTCTCTCTGCTCACGCATGTAAACGGGTTATTCCGAATGTTTCAGTAACCCGAATAGTGACCTTAACCCGACCATAAGCCGAATATTGACAGCTTGTAAACGTAGTCAGTGTCTTCATAAAAAACTCGTCTTTGTGTGTGGGTGAATATGTATGTTTTGGTGGTCACACCTGTGAATGAGTCAGACTGTTTCTCCTTCCTTTTTTCTCCTTTATCGCTGACCCTGAATTTGAAATGTCAAATAAATCAGACCTACTACTCCAAGTTATTTAAGTTATTGTTGTAATAATTGACAAATATTATTCCCTACACAGTACAGAGCAAATCTGGAACTCACACTACACGATCACATGCCAAAAAGTTTTGTTTGAAGAAGCATGGTGCTTGTCTTGCATGAGCTTTTCAGTTTAACAGATTATGTAATTTGACAACTAAATGTGTTTTACTACGATAAACAAATAAAAGCCAAAGAAAACTCTCTTACCTTCAAAACGAATAAGTTGTTCCTAATGGGCAGCTTAACAACATTCAAACCGAGAAACAAAAGGAGAACTTCACCCATTCTGACTTGTTATATTTGCATACATAAACATTCAGACATAAAAGAAAAAGGCAAAAAGCACATATTCTTGGTAGAGATCAAGAGATATGTTAATTCTGTTATCTGAGCATGAAGTTCACTTCCTGTGACAGTGGTTAGTTCTGTTTTGAAACTTTTCAGAAAATAAAACCCTCCTTAATGTACGTTTACAGTATAATATTCTGCTAGATTAGCAGACTAAAAAAGTGCCGCATGGAAAAGTAAACATGAAAATCACATATATTTCATTTGATAACATAAATGAACTGTTTTTTTTTTAACACAAATTAACCATAAAACATATTTCTATATAATTTATTAAATTTAGTTAATTCCAACATTCACTAGTACATTGATAAAAGGCTAATTTTGTATTAGGTAATGCAGTTTGAACTAACATGACATTGTTTTATTAACTAACCTAATAAATATGTACTGTAAGGGTCATATACAGCTTTGTGTTATCCCCTGAATATGGTGTCGTAGATGTATATGATGCGGATTTCTTCGCATTTGCTTTGGACTTTACTCCTATAGAATGCTTAGTTAAAGGTCAAGCTCTGTGTAACTTGTTTTGTTCAAAATTAATCACATTTTAATGAGTGAGTACATCATAAATCCATCTTCCAAACTGTGTTACCCTGATTAAGCCTAATAAAATATATTGGCAAAAATTTTGGGACGTCTACCTTTACATGCACATTAATTTTAATGACATCCCATTCTTAATCCATAGAGTTTAAAGATGGCACAATAATAAGCTCAAATGCTCGCCTTGCTCTGTTCTGTGATGCACGTTCGTGACTCTCCTGTTCGAACTCGTTCATCAAAATGAATAAATCTTTTTTTCGAGTCATTTGGTTCATTCAATGAACGAAATGAACAAATTGACTCAGAAAAAGATTCGTTCATTTTGATAAACGAGTTTGAACAGGAGAGTCACAAAGAACAGAGGAGGCCAGCATTTGAGCTTATAAAACTTAAACTTTGGGTTTTTTTTTTTTTTAAAGCCCTTTCAACAGTTTGCAGTTTGCACTGAAACGTCTCTGGTTACGTATGTAACCTTAGCTTTTTCAGTAGGTACAAGTCGTAGTTCAAACTGGGGCTGGATTTGGTAAAGTGAGGGCTATTATATTAAACAACCATAGGGCTCAATGCATGAGAAAAATTATTCCATAGCACAGAAAAAGATGCCAAAGATACTGGTCACTCTATCTTGTTTTGGTAATTTGTCTAGAGATAAATCGAGATAGAGATAGATTGGAGGGAAAAATACTCCAAAAGTCCAAAATTATGAAATCACAAATGCTGTCAAAACTAGAATAATATAGGAATGGTGTTTGCCATGGATCCAAGAATATGCAAGATCTCTAAATTTATTCTTAAAGCAGCTCATGAGCAAAAACAAAAATATTATAAAAATCAGATAAACAAATGACTAAATGCATTTGAGAAATTACAAGGCTAGCCTATTATTCTAAAATATGCAATCTATTAGAATTTGTAAAAAGGAAAAAAAGAAAAGGTGATTACCTTATAATTACTGACACTTCTCAGTGGTGTCAACGCCGAACACAACCTGCTGAAGCAGCCACAAGAGTGTATGTCAGTGTGGGAGTGCCTGAGTATGAATGGAGAGAGATGGTGTTTGGAGAAGAGATGTATAGTAGCGAAGTAGAACTACTTAAGTACTAAAATGCTGTATCTGTACTCTACTGGAGTATTGTTTTCTTTTACTTCAGTAGATATTTTAGATGAATTTAATACTTTTACTTCGATATTTTTTTTCTGCTAGTTAATCGTTACAATTATAAAAATTTTACTAATGATTCGTTGCAAGTTAGCTTTCATACTGCTTAAATCACATGCCAGTTTTGTAGGATAAAAGGTATTGATGGACACAAACATTGTCCTGCTATGACATTTTTTTTGGCGGCCACCAAAGCAAATTTGTATCCCGCCAAAGCGCCTTGTTTGACTGCTAGTTCAAACTTTTGACTGCTTTCTTTAATAATTACATGTTACACAATACTTGTACTTTTACTTTTAGTACTTAAGTAGTGCATTTTAAAATAAACTACTTGCAATACTTAAGTACAAAAAATGCTGAATACTTTAGTACTTAAGTGTGGTGCTTAAAGAGCACTTCAACTTCTACTCAAGTCACTTTTTTGATAGAGCACTTGTACTTTTACTCAAGTTCGGGTTTCTAGTACTTTATACATCTCTGGAAGAAACAATGAGGCAAATCAATTATTTTGCCAATACAGCTGTATCTAAATGTAATATGTGGGCCCAAATTCTGCCCAATAAAATAATGATTATGGATGAATTTGGTTAAATTTCCTGGGACTCAAATCAATGAGATAACTAAGTTGAAATGACTAATTGGAAAAAGTACATTTGAAATTTTGTATGAGAAAAATGTAAAGAAATTGTAAATATGATGATGAAAAATTACATTTATGAAAAACAAATGGACAATGGGCCAAATGAGCAGATGGTTAAAACATGTTGCTGTCACTTACAGAAATAATGAACCTTTAATTCACAGATTACGGAAGCTCAGTTCCAGGAAGGCTTCTGGGATGGAACCAAAAAAAAATAAAAATACAAAAAAAGAACCAGTGACTGTGCTTTGTAATCTCAGAAGAGGCTTGAGCATTGATCGGCAGAAGTGATATCTGAGTCCATGCCTCTCAGCTTGAAATACACCAACCAAGTTCAACAACCCCCCACAACAGGAAGTGAGGGACAAAGAAAGCTGGCAATGAGGAAAACTGCAACGACTCAAAAAGTTCAACACATGAATGGAAAAAAGAAGACAAACTTGACTAAAAACAGGAATGAGAAGTTGCAGAATGTGAGAAGCTCACAAGCAACTGTGCAAAGAACATGTATCAACAGAGATGAGTACAAGGTCAACATCAACCAAACTTCCTAAAATTTAATGTTCAGCCCTTGAATAGATTTAGTAGCAACTTAATAATAACCCCAAAGAACAAAAATGTATTAAGAGAAAAATAGATCAAAACAATGTGATGATAACGAGAAATTAGAAAATAAACTAAAATAATAAATGGTGACAAATAATTAAAAGAATGACATAGCACAGAGAAGTAAGACAAGTCATGAAGGAAAATTTAAATAGAAAAGACATTTTAAGATCCAAATGGGATGCTACTTGTTAATATAGGGGTAAGCCTTCAATGTTAATTCATGAGATGATTTGATTCAATTTGCTATTGACCAACTAAATATATTCTAAGTACTGCAAATAGAACGCTTATAGGCTACAGGAAGTTATTTAAATGGGTGATGAACTGAAAAATCAATTTTCCTTGAGCTTTTGACAACTAAGAGGTCATCATATTATAAGAATATTCTGTAAGTTTCAGAACTGAATCCGTCCTTGTTAGTCCAATAAAAGCTTTTATTGACACCAGGCTCAGCAAACAACTGGTTTTACAATATGGGGAATTATGACAACAAAGAGGATAAAACACCACCCCCACAGAAGAAGATCACGGCTGGTTTAGCCCCGCCCACCGATTCGCGCATTCCACGCATAAATAACATAGGTCTACCTCGTGATGACAAACCGGATCGAGCTACCAAGCAATACAAAATGTTGTGCAGCATGATTTATTTATTTTATAAATAAATAATTTACTTGCCAAATGCATGAAATTATTTAAATGAATAAGGCCTATTACCATGGTCTGTTTGGCCAGAATATCATTTATAATAAATTACAGCTTTTGATCGTATTAGACTAGCAATCGTTGTTGACAACTCTTGTAACGTCATTGAATTAAAAAATCAGTTTTCGCATTAGTCAAAACAACAGTATAAAATATGGCACTTACATGCTCAGATGACCTCTTTTTTGCATTTATTCACCGGTGCTGTTGTTGAAATACTCAAGCATTTTTTTAAAGTCAATTTTTGACTTAAATGAGGAAACAAAACAAAAAAATCGAGTGGTACAACTGAAAAATATAAGAAACTACAGGACCAATCATATCCTCTGGAATGTAATTAGCCAAGGTCAGTGGTAAAGAACAACTTGTAAAAGAAATGGATTTCAGCAAGTAATTTCCATGTGTCCCCTCCAGAACGTTGTCGAGAAAAAAAAAAAAAAAAAAAGGTAATCTCTCATTACATGAGCATCAAGAGAAGACTCCTTTGCAACAAACAAACAACATTGAAGAGCTGAAATAATGACATTGTTGGCAGTGAAGGATCATAGACTTACAGAAGTACGAAGGCAAATTGCAGCCAAAGTTGCCGAACAGGCAGGTGCTACCGTATTTCTCATTCGGAAAGCAGAATTGCTGAAGAGTAACACTACAAATTAAGGTGGTGACTAAATGTTCCAGAAAGTAAATTAAGCATTTTATGGTTAACGGAAATCTGCTAAGGAGTGGTGTTTAAACTTATGGGAAAAAAAATTGTGATACAGAGGATGTAGCTCAAAGATTAGGAAAGCCAGTGTCCTGTTGACTGAGAGCCATTATTATTTGTTTGCTCTTTCTTGGCTAAGACATTATCTGTGAGGTTGCAAAAAGTTTGCTTTGGATAAGAACTGTCAAAAGAAGAAAAAATGTCAAGATATCCCTTTTCCACCATGGCAGTTTGAGTGCTGGTTCAGAGCCAGAGCCTAGTTTCAAATTAGTTACTTGTCTTTCAACAACCAAAGCACCAGCTCTGAACCAGGAAAAGTGGTTTGTATGTGGCACCAATACATTGCTGGTCTAGAAGTAAGAACCGTTGCGTCAGGGGCTGGGGGCAGGGTTATCTTGACCAACAAGATGAGCAGAAAGTTTTGACCACCATTTTTGAATAAGCTGGAAGCTATTAAGCCCAAACAACAGTAGTCGGAGGAGGAAACTGCTTTCTTGGACACGGTCTAGCAGAAGTCCAGAATAAATTGAGAGGAGCTTCACGAACGAAACCCCATTTACAGCACATTCAGCGTGAGATGGCTGCAGCGGGGTTCGACAAGAACGTCAAACAAATCAGCAACAAAAAAAAAATTTGAGGAACCAAAAAAAGGACCTTGGTCGAAACAGCAATGACATGACAATGTTGAGTTGCCGCCACCGCTAGGCTGCAGCTCTCCCGCCTGTTCTTCATTTAAAGGGTTAGT